CCGGGCCCGCGTCGTGGGGTACGAGTGCGACGCGGCCGCGACCGCCATGGCTAAGGAGCTGGCGCGGCTCAACAACCTCGAGTCCCAAATTGAGTTGCGCGGCGAGTGCACGCCGGACGGGCTCGAAGAGCTGGTTGCGTCGGCCGAGAAACCGTTTCTGCTGTGCGACGTCGATGGCTACGAGACCGAGCTGCTCGACCCGCGGCGGGTGGGATCGCTCGCACGCTGCGCCATGCTGGTAGAGCTGCACGAGTTTGCTCGCCCCGGCGCCACGGCCGAGTTCCTGCGTCGGTTTGGCGGGACGCACGAGATCGAGATCCTGTGGCAGTCGCCCCGCACCGCGGCCGACTTCCCGTTCGAGGGCGTGCTGACGCGGCTGCTGCCGTCGAGGTACCGCCGGCACATGGTTGACGAACTCCGCCCCTCGGAGCAGTCCTGGCTGTGGATGACGCCCAAGGCGCCGCAAGCCGCGGCCGCCTAAATCCACAGGGCCCCGTTCACGGCGCGTCCGGAATGAACCCGTTGACCATCCCCATAGTTGTCGCCGCCGATGAGGACTTCGCCATCGGAGCCGGCGTGGTGATGCAATCGGTGCTTGAGAACACCTCCTCGCGGGTGCACTTCTACTTCTTCCACGACACACTTGCCGCCGAGAGCCGGCGCAGGATCGAGGCGGTCGTGGCCGGCCACCCAAACGCCGACCTGACGATGGTGGACGCCCGCGAGTCGCTCGCCTGGTTGCCCGCGCCGCAGCGAACCGACGCCTACACCCGGATGACTTACGCCCGGCTGTTGGCGCCCGAGTACGTGCGAGGAGATCGGGCCGTGTACCTCGACTCGGACACCCTGGTCCGGGCCGACATCCGCACGCTGTTCGACCACGACCTCCGCGGCGCGCCGCTGGCCGCCGTGCCGGACTACGGGGCGGTGAGGCTAGCCTTGCGCAGCCAGTTCGAGCGTGACTACTTCAGCCGCGCCACTGACGGCCGCGGCGTCCACTCCTACTTCAACGCGGGCGTGCTGCTGCTCGACCTGCACGCCCTGCGGCGCGGCGGGCAGCTCGACCGTGCCCTAGAGCTCGTCGCCGGTGGGCGCGAGCTCCGCTTCGCCGACCAGTGCGCGCTGAATCTGGCCGCGGCGGGTCGCTTCAGCCCGCTGGCAGAACGTTGGAACGTCAACGTTGCGCACCAAGATCTGCCCCAGGACCTGCTGGCGCCTCCCGACCTGCGTGAGCGGGTGGGCGCGGCATTCGCCAACCCTGCGGTGATTCATTACGTGGGCCCCAAGCCCTGGACTCTCTTCCCGACCAGTTGGAAGCAGGAATTCGTCGACGTGCTGCGGCGAACACCGTGGCGAGACTACCACCAGCCAATCAGCAGCCTGAGCTGGAAACACAAGCAGGCGCTCCTCAAAGCCTGGCGTAGCCAAGCGGTGAGCCTGCGTGTCCGCAAGAACGAGTTCCGCCTGCAACTATTCGGGCGTCGGCTTGTCTACTGGACCCGGACCGGATCAAACGCCGCCTAGCGCGGGCCATCACCATGAACATTAGCGTCATCCTCAGCACGTACAACCAGCCCGAGTGGCTCACCAAGACCCTGTGGGGCTACGCCCACCAGCAACGCCGGCCCGACGAGATTGTCATCGCCGACGATGGCTCGTCCGACGCCACAGAAATGGCCGTTGACTACGCCCGCTGCGAGACCGGGCTGAACATCCGTCACGTGTGGCACGAGGACCTCGGGTTCCGCAAGACACGGATCCTCAACCAGGCGATCGAGGCCTCGGCCGGCGACTACCTAATTTTTTCCGACGGCGACTGTATCCCACGCCGCGACTTCGTGGCGGTCCACGCACGGCACGCCGCCGCGGGGCGGTTTCTGTCGAGCGGCGCCGTGCGGCTCTCGCTGGCCGGCAGCAAGGCAATCTCCGCGGCGGACGTCGCGATGGGACGCTGCTTCACCCGAACCTGGGCGGCCCAGCAGGGCGGGGTGAAAATGACCCAGCGACTCAAGCTGCTCTCGCCCGGCGTGCTGCCCCATTTGCTCGACCGCTTCACCACCACCCGCGCTACCTGGAACGGCAACAACGCTTCTTGCTGGAAGTCGGACGCCCTGCAGGTCGGCGGGTTCGACGAGCGGATGCAGTACGGCGGCGAAGACCGTGAATTCGGCGAGCGCCTGGTGAATCTCGGCGTCACGCCGATTCAACTACGGTACCGGGCCGTGGCGGTCCACCTGGACCATTCGCGTGGTTACATCGAGCCGGACATGGCAGAGCGCAATCGCGTGATCCGCGCAACCACCATGGCGATGCACCGCACTCGCACCCTGCATGGTCTGAAAGCCGCCGCGTAGTGACGCGGGTTGCGGCCCGGCGGCATTGTTCTAAGCTGCGGGGATGGTCGACCTGTGGCTCAAAACGCTCGCGCTAGTGGTCGGGCTGGCTGCCGCCCTCTTCGCCGGCGCCGGCCGCCTGACGTGGCCGGCCGCGTGGTCGCTGCTGGCGATCTACTCGCTGTTCATCGCGCTTGCGCTCGCGCTGCTCGACTCCGACCTGCTCAAGGAGCGCGCCAACCCGGGCGACGGCTATGACCGCGGCGATGCGCTGCTGGCAAGCAGCGGCTTCTTGCTCCTCTACCCCATCGCGATGTCCGTCGCGGGACTCGACGCGGTCCGGTTCGGTTGGGGCCCCCTCGTTCCAGGCTGGTTGAGAGTCGCCGGCGGCGCGGGGTTTGTAGCGGGCTACGGACTCGCGCTATGGGCGATGCAATCCAACCGGTTCTTCTCGACGTTCGTACGCATCCAGGCGGACCGCGGTCACACCTTGGTCGCAGGCGGCCCCTACGCTGTGGTCCGCCACCCGGGGTACGCGGGCATGATGCTGGCCCACCTGGGCATGCCGCTGCTGCTCGGCTCGTGGTGGGCGTACGTCCCGGTGTTGGCTGGGGTGGCAGTGTTCATTGTGCGGATTGTCCGGGAGGAACGCCTGCTGACGGCGTCTCTCGAAGGGTACGACCACTACTGTCGGCGCCACAGGTGGCGGCTGCTGCCGGGGGCGTGGTAGTCCGCCGCGAGATCGTGGACGCTCTGGGGGAACGTGGTTAGCATGCAGTTACCCCTTTATATTTCCGGAACTAGAGCCACACCAAGAGCAGGGCGGCCCTCCGCATCGCAGCAGACGGAGCGCTCGGTCGGAGGTCTACACGCGTGAAGTTTTTCGAACCGGCGGCGATAAGATGGTTGACGCTAGCTTCCGCGATCATGGCCTGCCAAGTGAGCTGCCCAGAGGCGGGCGCAACCGTCGTGCGCTTCGAAACCAGCGTCGGCGACATCGACGTGCGACTCTTCAACGAGGCGACTCCCAACACGGTCGCGAACTTCCTCACCTACGCGACGTCCGGCAGGTACGAAGAAACTTTCATCCACCGGGTGCCGCAGAGCCCGGCTGGGGGCTCCTCCAATTTCGTGGTGCAGGGTGGTGGTTTCAAGTTGAACGGGTCCATCTTCGCGGCCAGCGGCATCCCAACAGACGCCCCCATCGGCGACGAACCGGGGATCACCAACATCCGTGGGTCCTTGGCGATGGCGAAGAACTCGTTAGGCGCTACCAGCCAGTGGTTCTTTAATATCGGCGACAACTCGTTTCTCGACGCGCAGGATTTTACCGTCTTTGGTCGAGTGCTGAACGACGGCATGGACGTCGTGGACGCCATCAACCAACTACGCACCGTCAACGCAGCCGCCGCTGAAACGCCCAACACCGGAGAAGACTTCGACGAGGTGCCTGTCCGTGATTTCGACCAGGTGATCTCTCAGAACGATATCACCCAGAACGAAGCGGTGATGATCAGCGCGGTTGAGACCCTGACCTTCCCCGACGGTGATTACAACTTCGACGGTTCGATTGACGCTGCTGACTATGTTGTCTGGCGAGACTCAATTGGATCTACGCTGCAGGTTGAAGCCGACGGCGACGGCAGCGGCGTGGTCGACGCCGCTGACTACCAACTGTGGCGGACCAACTTCGGAGCCACAAGCAGCGCGGCGCTCACCGCCGGTGGGTCGGCGGCGCCCGAGCCCGCTTCCGCTGGGCTCGCACTGCTGGCAGGCCTGCTGGGGTGGAGCTCACGCCCCCGGCGCGCTTGACACTTGTTGAGCGAAAAAAAAGCGGGCCTCGAATGAGCCGGCAACACACCGGCAGGTCATGTCGGTCAGGGGCAATTGACCCGACAAGCCAATATCATTCGAGGCCCCGCGGGCCAGCGTTTTCATCAGGCGACCTCGCGGCCCCCCTGAACTCTGCCGGTTCTTAAAGCAGGGTGCGTGCCGTTTACCCGGCACTGACCTCGGCAGCGCAAGCCATAATTGGTCTAATTGCTTACGAGTCAGCGGCTTAAGGTGAGACAAAAGCATCCAACTTCGCCCCCGGCAGCCTCACGAAGAAGTCGTCCTAAGATGAGACAAGGGCTCTCGTGCGGAGCGAAACGCTGCGATTGCTTCGTCCTGGCGCACCGACGCGAGTGGGACCACCGACGGCCCTGGCTTGCGGCTTAATCTGGCTCAAAGTGAGACTCGATCGATTCGTATTGGGGCGAATCGACCTCGCCGCGGCTGTCTCCACTGCCTTCGCCCAACCGATCAAGAGGGAGCCCAATCGCCGTGTCCGCTCCGCCACCTCCCAGCGACGCCCCGCCGGCGAGCGCCCCCGGCGGCTCGTCAGCGCCCGTCGCTAAGCGGCTGGACGCCGATCGGCGTCGGGTGGTTCTGCTGGTCAACCGCAAGGCCGGGGCAGGGCGGGGCGCCCGCAAATTGGCGGAGGCTGAAGGCCTGCTGGCCGACGCCGGGCTGGACGTCTGCCGCATTCAGACCCCCGACGAGCTGAGCCACGTTACCAACGAAGCCACCGCCCAGCAGACGCTGCGGGCCGTGGTGGCCGTCGGCGGTGACGGAACGGTCGGACTGGCGTTGAACCGAACCCCGCCCGGCACGCCGCTGGCTGTGATGCCGGCCGGCACCGAGAACCTGCTGGCTAAGTATCTCGATCAGCAGGCGCGGCCGCGGGCGTTGGCCGACCTGCTGACCGACGGGGTCGAAGTCCGTCTTGACGCGGGCGAGGCGAACGGGCGACTGTTCGCGTTGATGATCAGCGTTGGCTTTGACGCGGACGTCGTGCACCGAGTGCACAACAGCCGCCGCGGCAACATCACCCACTTGGCCTACGCCAAACCCTTTATCGACGCCCTGCGTATCTACAAGTACCCCAGCCTGCGGACCGCTTGGCGGGGCCCCGATGCGGACACTGCCGGGGCCACGGCCGGGCGGTGGCTGTTCGGCATGAACCTGCCGCGTTACGCTCAGGGGCTGCCGATCGCCCCGGAAGCCTCGGGGATCGACGGGCTGATCGACCTGTGCGTGTTCAAGCGTGGCTACGCGTCTTCGGCGGTGTGGTACCTGTGGCATCTGCTCCGCCGCCGGCACCATCAGCTGCCAAGCGTGTCCATCACGCGGTGCCGCGAGTTCACCGTCGAAGCGGACGACCAAGTCCCGTACCAACTCGACGGTGACCCGGGGGGGTTCCTCCCCGTAACGGTCCGATCGGCGCCGCAACGGCTAACCTGCATCGTCCGCCCCGAGGTGGCCAAACGGCTCGGCTTCGAGATACCGTCCTAAACGTCAATCGCAAGACCCTATTCAGATCACCCGAACCAGTCACGACTCAGTGCCGAACCTACCTGCGAATGTTGGACCCTACCGCTGCGGAGCCGGCCAGCCGCTGCTGCTGATCGCGGGACCCTGCGTCATTGAAAGCGAGGACCTGACGCTACGCATTGCCCAAGCGCTGCAGCAGGCGGTCGACACGCTGCCGATCAACCTCGTGTTCAAGGCCTCGTTTGACAAGGCCAACCGCACCAGCCTCGACGCCTACCGCGGCCCGGGGATCGACGAGGGTCTGCGGATCCTTCAGCAGGTCGGCTCGCAGACCGGCTTGCCGACCACGACCGACTTCCACGAGTCGACTCAGGCCGCCTCGGTCGGTCAGGTGTGCGACCTGCTGCAGGTGCCGGCGTTCCTCGCGCGGCAGACCGACCTGCTAACCGCGGCGGCCGCGACCGGCAAGGCGGTCAACGTGAAGAAGGGGCAGTTCATGGCGCCGTGGGACATGCAGCATGTCGTGACGAAGCTCGCCGGTTCCGGCTGCGACAACATTCTGTTGACCGAACGTGGCACGTTCTTCGGCTATGGGCGGCTGGTCAACGACATGCGGGCCCTGGTCCAGATGCGTGAGCTCGGAGTGCCGGTTGTGTTCGACGCGACGCACAGCGTGCAGGAGCCGGGCGGCCTTGGCGGCGCCACAGGGGGCAACCGTGAAATGGTCGAGCCGCTCGCCAAGGCGGCCGCCGCGATGGGCGTCGAGGCCCTATTCCTGGAAACTCACCCCGATCCCGATCAGTCGCCCAGCGACGGCGCCAACATGGTCCCACTCTCAGAAATCCCGCAGCTGCTCCGTCGCATAGTCGCGATTCGCGAGGCGTCCCAACTCTCATGAAACGATCCGCCGCCGTCAATTCATTGGGTTTGAAACTCACCGCCGTGCTGCTGACTGCCGCGATGCTGTCGGCGCCGGCAGGCTGCCGCAAACGCGTAGAGTCTCGGTATTCCGCGGGCAACGGCGGGATGGGCACCGCCAAAGAGGCGGCCGCCATGCTTGAGTCAGACTTCGTCAAGCTCGACAAGCTGGCGGACAACGTCCCGCTCGAGCTCAGCCCCCCGACCGTGCTGTTGGACCCGCGGTTTAGCACCGATGGCAAGGACGTGCTGGTCACCGTTTCGCAACCCGAGGCGACGCCCGGCGCGCCCTGGAATACTCTTGAGATCGTCAGCGGCAACGCCAACTTCCGCAACCTGGGCGTCCGCCCGAACGACATCATCAAGCTCTACCTGTTCCCCGACAGCGAGACCCGCGACCGCCAAAACGCCACCGGCGAGGTCGATGCCCAGATGGTCACCCACGAGGCCACCGACCTGATCGTCGCGCAGGTGCTGTCCGACACTCGGCTGCAGGTGCTCGAAGGCGTCCGCCCGCCGCGCAACCTAACCGTGCGGATTTCGGAGGACGACTACGCCGAGGTAACCGGCATGGGAATTCAGGGCCTGGACGCGCTCCGCGACCAGGGCAAGGTCGACGCGTTCGGCGTCAACCTGCCCGCCGACGAGATCCCGCTCAGCGTGCTGCCGAACTTGGTGCCCACCATGGCCTGGCCGCCGCGGATCGAGATCTGGCGGAATCAAGACGTCCAGATGCAGGCCATCAGCCGCGCACTGGGCGCTTACGCCAAGAACGGCGAGCCGGCCATCGGCTGGGAGCCGACGCCTGACGCCCAAGAGATCGCGCGGCTAACCGAGAGCTTTAACCGCTGGCTGCGTTCCCGGCAAACGACTGAGGTAGTCGAGCCGCCACAACTGCTGCAAACGCTGCCCGAGCGACTCCGCACCAAGCAGCCGACCTCCGACTACCTCAGCCCCGCCGCCCTCAACCGCGACACCTTCGCCGATCACGAGGGTCGACTGATTCAGCAGGCGTCCTGGGCGCGGGACATCGCCGCGTGGACCGCTGGCGACGCGTTCGACCCGCTGCCACGAGCCGAGCGGCTGTTCGATTGGGTTGTCCGCAACGTGACGCTCTCGGACAGCCCCCGCCTGCGGAATCACCGGCCCTGGCAGACGCTCGCCTACGGGCGGGGTGGGGCGGCGAAGCGGGCGTGGGTGTTTTCCATGCTCTGCCGCCAGCAGCGGATCCCCTCCTGCGTGATCACCCTGCCAATCGGCGCCGAAGGCGAGGCGTGGCTGTGGTGCGGCATCGTGGACCACAACCAGCTCTACCTGTTTGACCCGCAGCTCGGCCTTCCACTCCCCGCCGCCAACGGAAAAGTCGCGACACTCGCCCAGGTGAAGGAGGACCCGTCGGTGCTCGATGTGCTGAGCCAGCCTGAGCTCCCGTATCCGGTGGACGCGGACAGTCTCGACAACGCGCAAGTCGCTGTGGTTGCCGAGCCGCTGTCGCTCAGCAGCCGCGCCGCGCAACTGCAAGAACAGCAGAGCGGCAGCACCGCCATCGTGCTGCATGTCGAGGCGGACGCCGCGGCCGAACTGCTCAAGCAGGTCCCCGGCATCGAGGAAGTGGTGCTGTGGCCCCACCCGTTCGAGAACCTGCGGCGGGAGCTGCTGCTCGCCGAGGCAGAGAACACCGCGGGCGACACGGCCCGCAACGCCGCGGCCCTGGACGTGCGGCCCTTTGCCTGGGTCCCGCAGCTGTGGAAGGCCCGCATGCTCCACTTCCGTGGCACGCTCGAGACCGAACGCGAAGCCAAGAAGAAGGGCGTGCTGCACGACCCGGTCAACGACCACCGCGCGGCCGCCCAGCTCTACCTCAGCCCGCGGGTCCGCCCGTCCGGAAAAACCCTCAATCAGGTCGTGCAGAACGACGAACGCCTCCGGATCTACCACCGCACCAAGGCCGACGCTACGCTGTGGCTGGGCCAGCTGAAGAACGAAGAGGGCGAGTACGCTCAGGCCCTGCAGTGGTTCGAGCGCGTCGACCTCGACGCGCCAGAGAACGCCCACCTGGCCGACGCGGTCCGCTACGGGTCCGCCCGGGCCCTGGAAGGCCTCGGCCGCCTCGATGAGGCCGCGGAGCTGTACCGCTCCGACGACTCCCCTCAGAGGCTGGGTAACCTGATCCGGGCCGACCGGTTGCTCAACGCCTCGAACCAGCAGTAGCCACGGGAATCCTGCATGCGGCGTTTCCTGGCAGAGCGGTGGTTCCTGATCGTGCTGATGGCTTCGCTGGTTGGGGGCCTGGCGTTCAGCCCGCAACTCGACTTCATCCCGCGGCACTCGCCCAAGATGGGCGTGATTGCGCTGGTCATGCTGGCGACGTCGCTCGCCACCAACTTTGGCCTCGCCCTGCGCGCCCGCGACAGCTGGTCCGCGGTCGCGCTGGCGTTGTTGGTGAACGCCGGCGCCGCGCCGCCGCTCGGCTGGCTGCTGGGGCGGCCGCTGCCGCCGCTAATGGCCGAGGGGCTGACGGTTGCGATGTCCGTGCCGTGCACCATCGCCGCGGCGATTGTGTGGACCCGGCGGGGCGGCGGGAACGACGCGGCCGCCGCGCTGACCAGCATGATCTCAAACTTCTCGTGCTTCGTGGTGCTGCCGCTCTGGACCGGGCTGCTGCTGGGCGCCACGGTCGATACGAAGCCCCGCGAGCTGATGATCAAGCTGCTGCTCGGCATCGCCGCCCCAATGGCAGTTGGCCAACTGGTGCGGGCGCCCAGGGTGATCGCCCGGTGGGCCGACGAGAAGAAGCCGATGCTCAGCCTGCTAGCTCAGTGGGGCGTCCTGTACATGGCGCTGCTCGGAGCCATTGAGGCCGGCAACGCGATCCTCGCCAGCGAATACCGCCCGGCCGTGACGGACTGGCTGCTGATGCTGGCCGTTATCGTCGTGCTGCACTTAGTGCTGCTGGCCCTAGCCGCGATGGCGGCCCGCGCCGCGGGTCTTGGCCCGGCCGACGCCCTGGCGGTGATCATTGCCGGCAGTCAGAAATCGATGGCGGTCGGCGTGGGTGTGGCCCTGCAGTTTGGCCCGATGACGATTTTCCCGCTGATCACCTACCATTTCGCCCAGCTTCTGATCGACACACTGGTGGTCGACCGCCACCGGCGTCGCGAAGAGTCCTCCTAGTTTCGCCGCAATCTGGGCAAGGTCCTGTGCCGGGTTTCCCCGGAAAATGGCCACCCCCGACCGGAGAACGCCTGAGGCGGGTCCCCCGAAGACCGGCAGGGCGGCTCTGTCGGACCGCTCCCCGTCGAGTTTCCCTCTGGTTGGCGACCAAAATGGGCAGATGAGCGGCGCCCGATCGCAGCTATATGTCGACAAACCTTGGCCTACCAACAACTAAGGCAGATCATCAGGGGCTGGCGGCGCCGACTCTTGTCCCTAAGGATCGCAGACGGGAAACTGGTTTCCAGGGCTTCGAGACAATTAGCCTGGAGCGGCACAGCACGCCACGGCGGTCGCCGTCGCAGCCGACCCGCCGCCCCCGTTCTGGTGGATGGGCTTGAGCCCCGCCCCGGTGACCGGTATTCTTAAAGATTCTTCGATCCCGACCCACCACCACTGGGCAGCCGCCCAGGGTTAGCAAGACCAGGTTCAGCCAGACTCAAGGCGAGCAAGATGAAAGACGGCATCCACCCCAACTACCAGGAAACGGAAGTCCACTGCGGTTGCGGCAACACCTTCACGACGCGGAGCATCCGCAAAGAGCTGAAGGTGGACATCTGCAGCGCCTGCCACCCGTTCTTCACCGGGAAGATCAAGTTTGTGGACACCGCCGGCCGGATCGACAAGTTCAAGAAGAAGTTCGCCGGGGCCGGCTACGCCAGCCTGGCCAAGAAGGGGAAGAAGTAGCTGGCGGCCGGCGGCTGACGTTCTTGCCCCTGCCACCTGTACTCCCTCTCCTGAGCTATGCGCGACCTACTCGACACGAAACTCGCGCGATTCGAACAGCTTGAGCAGGACATGCTCGACCCGGCCGTTCAGGCCGACTCGAACCGCATGTCCAGCGTGGCGCGCGAGCACGGCTCGCTCGCCAAGCTGGCCGGCAAGTACCGGCACTTTAAGGATATCGCCCGGCAGATCGCCGAGGCGCGCGAGATGGCCGACGGCGACGACGCCGAGATGCGTGAGCTGGCCGAGGCCGAGCTGCCCGACCTGATCAAGGAACGCGAGTCCCTGTGGGACGAGCTCCTGGGCATGACTATCGGCGGCGAGGACGCCAACCGCGCCCGCTGCATCATGGAGATCCGCGCCGGCACCGGCGGCGACGAGGCCGCCCTCTTTGCGCGCGACCTGTACGAGATGTACAAGCGGCACGCCGAGGCCAAGAACTGGAAGATGGAGGTCATGGACGCCAGCGCCACCGAGCTGGGCGGCTTCAAGGAGATCAGCCTGTCGCTTGAGGGTGAGGGGGTCTACCGCGAGCTGATGTACGAGTCGGGCGGGCACCGCGTGCAGCGCGTCCCCGAGACCGAAACCCAGGGCCGTGTGCACACCTCCGCCGCGACGGTCGCCGTGATGGCCGAGCCCGAAGAGGTCGAGGTCGAGCTGAAGCCGGAGGACTACCGGCTGGACAAGTTCTGCGCCAGCGGCCCCGGCGGCCAGCACGTCAACAAGACCGAGTCCGCGGTGCGGCTCACCCACCTCGAGACCGGCATCGTCGTGCAGTGCCAGGATGAGAAATCCCAGCACAAGAACCTGGCCAAGGCGTTGCGGGTGCTCAAGAGCCGAATCTACGACCACCGCAAGCAGGAAGAAGACAAGAAACGCTCCGACGAGCGGAAGAGCCTGGTCGGCTCCGGGGACCGCAGCCAGCGGATCCGCACCTACAACTTCCCGCAGAACCGCCTGACCGATCACCGCGTGGGGCTGACCCTCCACAAGCTCGACCAGATCATCGCCGGAGACCTCCAGCCCGTGACCGACGGGCTGATCGACTACGAACGCCAGCAGCAGCGTGACCAGATGGGAGGGCTTGATTGATTGCGGATGGGCGATCTCGGATTGCGGATTGAACGCTGGTTCGATTCGCCCACCAGATCCGCGATCCGCAGTCTACAATCCACCATGCCTGACCCCGCCCCCTGGACCATCGGCCGGCTGCTGAACTGGACGACCGACCACTTCACCAAGGTTGAGTCGGACTCCGCGCGGCTCGACGCCGAGGTGCTGCTCGCACACTCGCTGGGGCGCGAGCGGATCATGCTCTACGCGGCGTTCGACGAGGTCCCACCGGCGGACACCCGCGATCGGTTCAAGGCGCTTGTAAAACGGCGCGGCGAGGGCGAACCGGTCGCGTACCTGGTGGGCAGCCGCGAGTTCTACTCGCTCCCGTTCGAGGTCACGCCGGACGTGCTGATCCCGCGGCCGGAGAGCGAGCTGATCGTCGTGACGCTGACCGACCGCGTAAAGGAACGCCCCGCCAGTGACGAGCGGCTCAAGATCGCCGACGTCGGGACCGGCAGCGGCGTCCTGGCTGTCTGCGCGGCGAAGTACGTGCCCAACGCGGACGTGCTGGCGATCGACGTCAGCCCCGCCGCGCTGGCGGTCGCCAAGCGCAATGCCCAGCGCCACAAGGTGGACGACCGCGTCTACTTCGTCGAGGCAGACCTGTTCCCCGCCAACAAGCCGGACATGCGGCTCGACTACATCGTCAGCAACCCGCCGTACATCACCTCCGAGGAGATGACGGGGCTCGATCCGGACGTCAGGGACTACGAGCCGCACCTGGCCCTCGACGGCGGCCCCCAAGGGACAGACGTCATCGAACGGCTGCTGCCCGCGGCCGCTCACCGCCTTAAGCCCGGCGGGTCGCTGCTGATGGAGATCAGCCCGATGATCGCCCCCCGGGTGGAACAACTTGTAGATCAGACCCCAGGCCTCGAGCGCCGGCCGACGATCCGTGACCTGGCCGGTCACGCGCGGATCGTCGAGGCGGTGCGAAGCAACGATTGAGTGTCATGCACCCAGGATCCCCTTGGCTCGCCCTCATCACCCTCGACGGTGAGCGTCTGCCCGACTTGCAGCAGGTAGGCGATCTGCTCGCCGAGCGTTTCTCTGAGCAGGCGCCGCCGGAGGCGACCAGCGTCACCGACCGCGGCGTCACGTTCCGTTGGGGCTCGATCAACGGCAACTACACGCTGGTCGATCGGCCCATCCCGTGGGAGCGTCTGGAAGGCCCATGCGCCACAGCGTGGTACTGGCCCGACGCGAAGCAGTCGCTGCAGGGCCACTCGCACCACCTGTTCGTCACGCTGGTCGACGACGAGAAGAAGCCGATCCACACCGCGACGCGGATGACGCGGCTGGTGGCCGCGCTGGCGCTGGTCGCCGACGCCACCGGCATCGTGTGGGGTCCCAGCGGCCTGGTGCACCGCCCGGAGGACTTCGCCACGCTCGCGGCCGCCATCACCCCGCAGGACCTGCCGCTGCACCTGTGGATCGACTTCCGCGTCACGCAGCACGAGGACTCGGACGCGCTGGCCCTGTTCACCACCGGCCTGGAGTCGCTCGGGCACCGCGAGTTCGAGGTCCCGTACTTCGCCGGCGACGCGCAGCACCTGGCCGGCGCCACGTACAACGTCGCGCATTACGTGATGGAGAAGGGCCCGATTTTGAAGGACGGCGAGGCGGTGGGCCTGCCGGACGGCGGCCAGGTCAACGTGAACCTCGGCCCGTCAATGATCGACCCGGACCAAGAGGTGGTGCAGCTGACGTTCGAGTAGGCGGCCGGTCGCAGCCGTGTGCTAGACTTGCTGCATGACCTCTCAAAAGCTCATAACCGGCCCGTTCGCCGCGGGATTCTGTGCGGCAATGGCCTTCGCCGCCCAGGCGGCGCTGGCGGATGCGTACTCGCTGACGATTGTCACCGACAAGGGGGTGTCGATCACGGCGCCGCAGGAGTGGGGGCGGAGGCTCGCCCAGGCGGGCATCGACAACGTGCGGATCCGCGGCGGCCGGGCCGGGGACCAAGCCGACATTGAGGAGACGCCGCTCTCCTCGGGCACGCTGTACCGCATCACCGGGGTGCTGACCTCCGGCGGCAAGCTCACGCTGCCCGGCGAGAGCTTCACCATCGGACAGACCGCCAAGCTGCGCGACTACCTGGACCGGGTGCTGGCCGACGGCGGGCAAGCGATCACCGCCCAGCGGGGGCAGTACGGTCTGACCAAAGAGCAGTTTGAGCACGCGTTCACCGAGCTCGGCAGGCCCATCCCAATCTCAACCAAGGGACAACCGCTGCGGGCCATCGTGGACAAGCTCTCGTCCGACACGGGGCTGGTTGTGGCGGTCGACCCGCTGGTTTCCGCGACGTTCGCTAGGCTCGAATGCCGCGACGAGCTGCAATCCCTCTCCTACGGCTGCGGCCTGGCGATCGCGCTGAAGGCCGAGGGGCTGGCGCTCGCGCCCGAGAAACCGCGGGGCGAGCCGGTGCGGGTGGTCGTCCGCCTGGCGAGCGACCTCAAGGAGCGGTGGCCGATTGGCTGGCCCACCAAGGCCCGGGGCACCGAGCTGGCGCCGAAGATGTTCGAGAAGATCAACGTCGAGATCGACGGGTTCTCGCTGCAGGAGGCGGTCGACGCGATCGGGCCGCGGATTGAGATGCCCGTGCTGTGGGACCACGCTGCCATGGACGCCAAGCGGATCGACCCGGCGGCCGTTCAGGTCAAGCTGCCCCCGGCCAGCATGGCCTACCACCGAATCCTCAGCCGACTGCTGTTTCAGGCCCGGCTGCGTGGAGAGGTCCGTGTGGACGAGTCGGGCACGATCTTCTACTGGATCTACAGGTGACCCAAGAGGCCGACCTTCTCCTAATCTTCATCCGATGGCCGGCCAACCACGGCGAATCACCAGCGTGGAGTAACTTTTCTCACCGATGGCGAGGACTACCAGCCCCATGGCAGACACGCAGCTCATACCGCAGCAGTGGGCGCTTCCCGAGGCGATCCGCAACCGCCTGGGCGACGAGGTCGGGCGGCAGCGGGCGATGGTGCATGACGGGCACCTGCTGCTCGTGCTCCACGCCCCGCCGGCGCCAGACCAGGACGCCCGCGAGGGTCGGTTCTTTTGGCGCGCGCCCACGGGCGAGTGGAGGCCGCAGGCTCTGCACCATGGTGAGACTGCCATCGGCGAGCTGATCGACGAGTACGACAAGCTGCTCGACCGGATTGACGCCGACGAGGATGTGGCCCAGTCGGCCGCCGCGTACTTCGACCTGCTGACGCTGCTGAACCCGCTGGTGCGGGCCTCGCACAACCTGCACCAGACGCTGCAGCAGGCGCGCGAGGAGCTGCCGGACGTCCGCCAGCTGATCCTGCTCCGCGACCGGGCCTACGGAACTGCCCGGCGGGCGGAGCTGCTGCAGGCCGACGCCCGTAACACGCTCGACTTTGTCATTGCCCGCCGCGCCGAGGAACAGGCCGACTCTAGCCGCCGGCAGGCCAGGGCCGCCCACCGGCTGAATGTGCTGGCGGCGCTCACGTTCCCGCTGCTGACGTTGTGCGCAGTCTTTGGCGCCAACCTAGAGCACGGCCTGGAGCAGTGGGACGCCGCCGCCACGGCGCCAACCCCGATGCTGGCGGTGGTCGGCGCCGGGCTGCTACTGGGGGCGGTGCTGGTAGGCTACGTGACGCGCAAATAGCTTGCGGCGTCAGTGACTATTCGGCGGCGTGCTCGCCTTCGCCATCATGGTCGTGGCCGGCTTCACTGTCGTGGCCATCGACGTGGTCCTCGCCGTCATGGTCGTGGCCGACGCCTTCGGGCAGCCAGCCTTCGATCTTGGCCATGGCGGCGTCGATCTTCTCGCTAACGTCCGCCCACGTGACCTTCTCGCCCCCGTGCAGCACGTTGTCCAGTGAGCCGAAGCCGTCCATCAGGTCGTCGGCAACCTGCTTCGCCTCGTCGGCGGCCTCGACGCCGGCCTCCTTGGCGAGCCCGGGCAGCTTCTGGATCACCCCGCCAATATCGTGCAACGCGTCGTGCGCGTCGCCCGGCTTCTCCGCATCAAAGGCACTCTTTATTTCGGCGGCCATGTGCTCGAGCTGCTCGTGGGCCTCCGCCAGGGTGGTCGGAATCGCGTGCTCGGCGTGCTCGTGCCCGGCATGTTCCTCGGCGGGCGGCGGGGGGCTCGGGCAGCCGGTCAGGGCGATCGCGACCAGCGCGGCGACCGCTGACGAGACCGCCCGCTCCAGATTGTTTGGTTGCAGCTTGTTCATCGCCTGTCCTCGTCGATCGAAGGGTTGGGTATGGATGCTAGTTGGTTTCTTGGGGCGCCAGCTGGGCGCGTCGGTCGAGCCCGACGCCCTGGTTGACGAATTGTAGCGTCACGGCCTTGTCGGGGTCGATCTCCCCCCGCTGGAACACGCCGGCAGCAGTCATTTTATCGAAGAAACTCCGCACCCGCTCTGCTTGCATGGCGCCGATTCCGTGCTCGAGAGACTCCCCTGAATCAACCAGCCCCATCGCCCGCATCTGCTTTAACGAGAAAGCGATCTGACCGTCGGTGATCGAAGGATTGGCCCGCTTGATCAGCGTGTTGGCCGCCGCGTTGTCGCCGTACAGGTAACCGTACCAGCCCAGGATCGACGCGTTGACGAACCGCTGAACGAGTTCCGGCTGATCGTCGATCAGGCGCTGACTCGTCTCGATGACGGTTGAGTAGCTATCCCAGCCGTTGTCCGCGAGCAGGAACACCAGCGGCGCCTCGCCGCTGGCCTCCTCGACCCGCATCGGCTCGGCGGTCGCGAAGCCCTGCTGGATCCACTTCTTGTTGGCGAGAAATGGCGCCAGGCTGTGGTTGTAGGGCCGCAGGTTCCGCTTCTGGAAGCCGTGGGCGGCCTCCATCCAGAGGAAGAAGCTGTACCGGCCGGTCGCGGCCATCAGCAGCGGTGCACGGGTAAGATCGCTCCACTCGTCGTAGCCCTGGCCGGGATGGGCGATCAAGCACTGCGGATCCTTCTGCAGCATCGCCGCCACCACCCGCGTCGGCACGCCCTGCTTCACCGCGTCAAAGGCTTGCAGCAGATTGGTCCCCACCAGGAACTGGATCCGGCCCGCCGCCAGCAGCGGTCGGTTGTTGATCTGCGGTCCGCCCTGGCGGATCGTTACCTCGAGCCCGTGCTCGCGGTACGCCCCGTCGGCGACGGCCTGGTAGAAGCCCCCCAGCTCGGGCTGCGCCTTCCAGTTTAGCGCGAGGGTGACCTTGTCAATCGCCGTGGCCGGCGTGGCGGTCAGCAACGTAAGCAGGCAGAGGGTGCGGAGCATGGGTTCCACTCTAACAAAGCCCGCCTCGACTGACGATCACCCGAGATCGCGTCCCTGCCGGCGGCGGTCCCGCCGGCTGCCCAGCAGCCAGTCGCTCAGCAGCTGCGTGGCAAAGTAGAAAGCGACGCCCGTCAGCGAAACGAGGGCCAGCGCGGCGAACGCCCGCTCGGTGTCCGACCGGTACTGCGCTTCGTAGATGATGGTGGCCAAACCCGGGTGTTCCAACGCGGCCGCGGTGACGAACTCCGCCACAACCGCGCCGACCAAGGCCAAGTTCACCGACACCCGCAGGCCCGCCAAGAAGTAGGGCAGGGCGGTGGGAGCCAGCAGCAGGCGGAGCCGCTGCCAGCGCGACGCCCCGTACAAGCGGAACAGGTCCTCGTGCCCACTGTCGGTGCTGCGCAGCCCCACGGCCGTGCCCGACAGGATGGGAAAAAACGCCACGATCCATGCACACAACAGCATCACCCGCCTGGGGTCATGGATCCAGATCAACAGCAATGGGGCGATCGCGAGGAGCGGAGTTACTTGCAGCGTCACCGCGTAGGGGAAGAGGCTCAACTCGAGCGTCTTGGACGTGTTGAACAGCGCCGCCAGCAGCACCCCGCCGACCACCGCCCCGGCGAGCGCCAGCAGCATCGTCCGCAGCGTCACGGCCCAGGCCGCCAGCAGCGGCTCGCGGTGGTCCCACATCGCTTGGGCGATCCCACTCGGCGCCGGCAGCAGGTAGGACGATACGTCCCACGCCCGCACAGCCGCCTCCCAGCCCGCCAGCACCGCGACGCCCAGCACCACCGGCGCCAGCAGGCGGAGCAGACCGCGAGCCGTGTCGGCTCTGGCGAGTCGTCGGTGCGATCCTTCGCTGCTCATCGGGCATCGGCCTCCTTGCGTGCCATGGGCTGCCCACCCATCGCCAGGTGCAGCGCCGCGGAGGTTTGCTCACACAGCTCAAGGTACCGCGGGTCGGACCGGGTGGATTCATCTCGGGGGTGCGGGAGGTCGATCGGTATATCGGCCACCACCCGCCCGGGACGCTTGCTCAGCACCACGACCCTGGTCGAGAGGTACACCGACTCGTAGACGCTGTGGGTCACAAAGAGCGCCGTCATTTGCCGCTGCCGCCACAGTGACAGCAGGTCGTCGTTCAGGCGGAAGCGCGTGATTTCATCGAGGGCGGCGAACGGCTCGTCGAGCATCAGCAGGCGGGGACACGTGACCAACGCCCGCGCGAGCGACACACGCATCTTCATCCCCCCGCTCAGCTCGCGGGGGTACGCCTTGGCGAACTCCGTGAGCCCTACCAATTGGATGGCTTCCTCCACCCGTGTGCGGGCCGCCGATCGCGACTGGCCCTGCAGACGCAGGGGCAGGTAGACGTTCTTCCAGACCGTCGCCCATGGGAGCAGGGTTGGCTCTTGAAAAACGCAGCCGACCGGCGCCGGTTGCTGGGAGGCGTCCCAATGGCGTTCGATGCGACCGCTGGTCGTGTTCGCCAGCCCGCCTACCAGTCGCAGGACGGTGCTCTTCCCGCAGCCCGACGGCCCCAGCAAGCTCACGAATTCCCCCCTACCGAGGGTCAGCGACATGCCCACCAGGGCCGTTGTCCCCGCGGGGTAACGCATGCCGACATCCCGCAGCGAGACCAACGGCGATTCGGGGCTAGTCTCGGGCATACGTGGCGTGCGGAATCGGTCGGGCAGGGTCGGGCGGGTTTCCGTGCCGCCTGGCGGGTAGTCTAATGGAAGAAAACGTATTCTAGGTGATATTCCCCTTCGGCGTGCACGCATGAAATCTTCGGACCTCTGGAAAAAACTCCCCACCGCGGCCGAGCTGCTGGAGAACCCGCGGGTGCGTTCGGTCGTGGACCGGCTGAACCCGTCGGTCGTCACGGCACAGGTCCGAACGTTCCTGGACGACGTGCGCGCCGATCTGGCCCACCGCGCGGAGGAAGCCAACCTGCCCAGCTTTTCGGAGCTAGCGGACCGCGTCAGCCGTTACCTGTCCGGCGCCGACTCCTACAAGGTCGGCGGGGCGATCAACGCGAGCGGGCAGTTTCGCGGCGCGCCGTGGGTCTCGACTCCGCTGTCCGAGTCGGCGGTCGAGCGGATGCTGTTGACCGCCCAGGACTTCACACTCAGCCAGCAGCAGGGCCACGGCGACGAGGACGCGCGGCGTCTGCTGTGCGAGCTCACCGGGGCCGAGGCCGCCGCGGTGTTCACCGCCCACGCGGCCGCCATCCAGCAGGCCATGCAGACCCGGGCCAAGAGCGGCCGTATCGTGATTGCTCGGGGGGAAGTCGGCACGGTCGAGAATAATTGCCGGCTGACGGACCTGAGCATGGCGGCCGGCGTGACCCTCCTTGAGGTCGGCGCCGCCGACAGCGTGCACCTGAGTGACTACGAGCAGGCCCTGGCAGGAGGCCCCGCAACCGTGTTGAGGATGGGCAGCTCCAGCGGGTCAGAGGCGGCCTGCCGCCCCACCCTCGAAGCCCTGATCCAGGGCGTCCGGGCGGGTGGCGGGAGCGTGGTGGTCGAGCTGGGCGCCGCGGCGGTGCGTCCGATTGATGGCCTCATGACGCTGCTCCCATCCATGCAGGAAGCCGTTCAATGGGGCGCCGACCTGGTGCTGGCTCGGGGAGACGGGCTCACCGGAGGGCCTGCCTGTGGGATGGTCGTGGGCAAGGCGACGGCCATCGAACAGATGCTGGCTTCGCCGCTGGTCGCGACGCGGCGGGTCGACGCCTGCCGGGCGGGCGCCCTGGCCGCGACGCTGCGCCTGCACACCATGCGAGACCGCGCCGCGCTCAGCATCCCGCTGCTGACGCTCGTGACCGCGCCGCTAGAAAACCTGAAATCTCGGGCCGAGCGGCTGGCGCCGCAGTTGGCGGTCTCGCCGCGGCTCGCGACCGCCGAGGCGGTCGAGCTTCCCCCCAGTCCGGCGTGCGGGCTGCCGATCAGCGCGCCCTCCTGGGGCGTAAGGTTGCGGCCGCAAGAGGGGGACGCCGAACAACTGGCCGGCCAGTTGCTCGGCAGGAACCCGGCGTTGGCCGGCCGCGTAGAAGTAGGTTCCTTGGTGCTCGATCTCCGCACGGTGTTCCCCCGGCAGGACCTCGACCTGGTTACGGCGTTTGAACCAGAGGATTCTGCCGATTCTAACGGTGACCCGGCCCCGCCACCGGTCGATTGACCCGCCAAGGGATCCTATACTTGTGCGATTCAGATTAGCGTGAGCGTTCCTGTCCCCACACCGCGTCCCCCATGCCCTCTTGGCGATACCCGCAACGCCGCCCAACGCCGCGCATCCAGGCGATGACGCTGCTGGGCGTGTGCGCAGTGGCGACCCTGGGAGCCGGCCAGGCCGGGAGCCAGCCGCCCAGCGGCAAGCCGCCCAAGAGCGCCGTGCAGCAGGTTGTCACCGAGAAGGCGGTGGTCGGGCCGATCGCCCCCGAGCTCCCACCGGCGCCCAAGTCGCTCAACCTGCCGCTCGAACACCACCCCTGGGCCCGCTTTGGCGTGGGCGCATGGCGGACCCTACGGACCGTCACCGAGACCTTTGACGAGGGCGGCAAGTTCCTCACCCGCAGCGAAACCCTGCACACCGACAAGCTTTCGGCGATCACCGACGACAGCTACACCCTCGAAAGCACGTCGGTCGTGGAAGTCGGCGGCAAGCGTCTGCGCGGCGCGACGCAGGTCACCCGACGCAGCCTGCTGACCGACCACACCAGCCAGGCGCCCATCACCACCGAGCTCCCGGCGGCGGATATCAGCCTCAGCGGCAAGACCATCCCCAGTCAGCAGTGGGAGCTGAGCTACGGCGAGGGCCCGCAGCGCCGGCTCGAGACTCTCTACTACAGCCCGGAGTTCCCGCCCTACCTGCTGCGTCGCGAGGTAACGGCGCCCGACGGCAGCTCAGCAGCCGACCTGACCGGCGAGACAACCAGCGTGCTGGCGGTGGATGTTCCGATCCTGATGGACGGGGGCATGATCGCGGGTTACCGGCAGCAGGTCCGCGTCACAGCGGGCACCAACCAGGTGGAACGCATCGAGCTGCACTGCGACCTTGCGCCTGGCGGCCTGGTGCGGGCCTCGTCCACAGAGCGGGACGCCAGCGGCCGACGCGTCCGGTGGGTCGTGACCGAGCTAGAAGACTTTGGCGACGCCGATGACCAACCTAAATCGGAGCGTCGGTGGCGGCTGTTCCAACCCCACACCCGCTGAACACCCGGCCACGTGCCTGCGTAGTCAGAACAAGCCCTTGGCGATTCGCCCCCCGTTTGACGACGTTCGCCCCCGTGGCGACACCCGATGTTGCCTCGCTTTCGCCAGCCCGGTACCATAGGTAAGTTGTTTCAACAAGGACAGTTAGGAAGAGCTGAGGCCCTGCTCGCGTAAGTCGCGGCCCCGACGGCCCTCAACCGCCGGGAACCGGCCACGCGGCGCCCCCCACAACCGCACCTCATCGCGCGAGGGCAGGCGGGGCGCTATTGCCGCCGGGGCCCCAATCGCCGTATTGTCCGGCGACAAATTCTATCCAAAGACGGAGATACCCCCCTATGCCCAACGTCAGCCAGCGTCCCAACAACGCTCGCCCATGGCCGCGCCGCACGGCCGTGGCGCTGTTCTCGGCCCTGTTGCTGACTGCGCCGTTTGCCAACCAGGTCACGGCGCGCCCCACCCAGCCCGACGTCGAGGACCGCCAGATCACCAAGCTGGTGCGGTCGCGGATGGAGAGCTGGCACCTGACCGGGCAGCGGGTGGACGACACCGTCAGCGAGCGGTGCATGGACTCGTTCCTCAAGTCGCTCGACCCGTGGAAGCTGTACTTCCTGCAGTCGGACATCGACGAGTTTCAGCAGAACCGTCACAAGCTGGACGACTTCATCCGCAACGCCGACGTTTCGTACGCCTACAAGATCTTCTCTCGGTTCCTGGCCCGCGTCGAAGAACGGACCGCCACCGCGCTGGAGCAGATCGACGCGCCGCACGACTTCACCGTCGACGAGTCGATGATCCGCGACCGCGACGACACCACCTACTCCCGCACCGCCGAGGAAGCGGTCGAGCGGTGGCGCAAGCGGGTCAAGTTTGACATGGTTGTGCAGCTGGCCGACGGCAAAGACGCCGAAGAGTCCAAGGAAAAGCTCCGCAAGCGGTACAACAGCGTCCGCAAGCGTTGGCTCGAAACCGACGACGACGAGCTGCTGGAGCTGTACCTGACGTCGATGACGTCGGCCTTCGACCCGCACTCCAGCTACATGTCGAAGTCGACGCTAGAGGATTTTGACATTGCGATGCGGCTGGAGCTCGACGGCATCGGCGCCGCCCTCCGCAGCGAGGACGGCTACACCACCGTGCAGGAGATCATCGCCGGCGGAGCGGCCGACAAGGACGGCAAGCTCAAGGAAGGCGACATCATCGTCAGCGTCGGGCAGGGCCCGACCGGCACGATGGAGGACATCGTCGACATGAAGCTCCGCAACGTGGTTAAGCTGATCCGCGGCAAGCAGGGCACCGTCGTTCGGCTGGAGGTCAAGCCGGCCGACAACCCCAAGGAGCTGAAGGTCTACGAGATCACCCGCGACCGTGTCGAGCTCAAGAACCAAGAGGCCCGCGGAGCCGTGATCAACTGGGGCCGCAAGGCCGACGGTCAGCCGTACAAGATTGGCGTCATTGCTCTGCCCAGCTTCTACATGGACATGGAGGGCGCCCGACGCGGCCTGCCCAACTACCGCAGCACCACCCGCGACGTCTCGCGGCTGCTGCGGGGCTTCAACCAACAGGGCGTCGACGCCGTGGTGGTGGACCTTCGCTTCAACGGCGGCGGCTCGCTGCAGGAGTCGGTGGCGATGACCGGACTGTTCATCGACCGCGGCCCCGTGGTTCAGGTGAAGGGCCCGGACGGACGCAGCCAGCCCCACGACGACGACGACCCCGGCATGCTGTGGAGCGGCCCGCTGGTGGTCATGACCAACAAGTTCAGCGCGTCGGCCAGCGAGATCTTCGCCGGCGCCATCCAGGACTACGGCCGCGGGATCGTGGTGGGCGACGAGTCCACCCACGGCAAGGGCACCGTGCAGCAGCTGTTCAACCTGGCCGAGCTGCTGTTCGGCCGGCAGACCACCAAGAACTGGGGCGCCCTGAAGCTCACCATCCAGCAGTTCTACCGCCCCGGTGGCGACAGCACCCAAAACCGCGGCGTCGTGTCCGACGTGGTGATCCCGGCGCTGACGCAGCACATCGAGGGCATCTCCGAGCGTGACCTGGACCACGCGTTGTCGTTCGATCAGGTGCAGGAGCTGCGGCACGACCGCTTCGGGATGGTCGACGGCGGCATCAAGAACGAGCTGCAGCGGCTCTCCAGCGACCGCATCGCCAAGTCGCCCGACTTCCAGAAGGACCTCAAGCAGATCTCCCGGTACGAGGAGCAGAAGGACCAGAAGACGGTCACGCTGAACCTCGAGAAGTACCTGGCGGAGAAGGCGGAGCTGGACGCCGACAAGGAGCAGGAAGAACAGTTCGAGAAGGCGACCGACACCGACCGCCCGGTGTTCGACATGGAAGAGCACTACAACAAGGAGGCGATGTCGATCGTCGCCGACTACCTGCAGCTGCTCGGCCAGAAGAAACTGGCCGTGGCCCGCTAACCCCCGGCAGACATCCAAGACTCCCAAGAGCCAAGGGCAGACGCCCTTGGCTCTTTTTTTCTTAGCCCTTGGGATTCTGCTGGCCTACCCCTTAGCGCAGGCACAAGCAGAATCGCTGGCGGATTGGGTCTGCCAGAAGCCCCTCGGGGGAGACCACAAGCGGAGTTGGCGCCCCGGAGCTCAGTGCAATGGGCTGCCACTTGCGCTGCCGAAGCCGATCTGCACCCCCACGCGCAATCCCCACGTCCACCGTCATTGGGCCGATAGTAGCTGGCACTTTCTTGTAGAAAACGGCCACCTGCCGTGGTCCAATGGCTGTATCGCTGGGCAGGTCCTGCGCGCCGGGACGCCCGGCGTGGCCGGCAGCGCCTGCCAGCGACAACCGTTTTCCCCAAGGAGGTCCTCATGAGTTTTGTCCGTTGGGCCGCCTGCTGGCGGACAAAACACGCCGCGTTTTGTCCGCCCCATGACCGCGCAGACGCTGCTATTGCAGCGTGAAACGAGAACCGAGGGGGACAAAACCCCCGGAGTAAAGCCGCTAAGAATCGTTGTCCGCGACAGGGACAAAACCCGGCTCGCACGCCTCGGTCGAACGCTACTCGTGCCGCAGCGCCTCGATGGGGTCGAGCGCCGCCGCCTTGGTGGCCGGGTAGACGCCGAACAGCACGCCCACGATCGCCGAGATGGCGAACGCCAGCGGGATGGACCAGCCCACCAGGATCGGCTCGACCGTGCGGATCAGCTCGGGGAGGGCTTCCATCTGGGTTGGGAACTGCCAGAACATGAACATCCGCAGGGCCACGGACAGAGGCCGGCACGCCAAGCCAATCAGGATGCCCAGCAGCCCGCCCACAACCGACAGCACCACGCTCTCGGTGAGGAACTGCTGGACGATGTCGGTCTTCTTGGCGCCGACGGCGCGCCGGATGCCGATCTCGCGGGTCCGCTCGGTGACGGTCGCCAGCATGATGTTCATGATGCCGATGCCGCCGACCACCAGCGAGATCGCAGCGATTAGCCCGAGGAACAAGATGAACATCAGCTGGGTCGTGCGCGCCTGCTGCAGCAGCTCGAGCGGCACCGTGACGCCGAAATCACGCTGTGGGTGATGGGCCTCGACGGTCTGGCGGAGCACGTCGGCGGTCTTGAGGACGTCGTCCTTCTCGGCCACCTTGACCGTGATCTGGCTCAGCTCTTTGACGTCCTGCTGGAACTGGCCGGGTTTGGTGATGATCTCCATGTCGCCGTCGCGACGCCAGAGCGTCGTAATCGGCACGTAGACGTCGCCGGAGAAGTCCTCGGCCGCCAGCGAGCCGCCCACGCCGGCGGTGGGGTCCCGGGGCGCCACCACCCCCACCACCTCGTAGAACTCCTCGTCCACCATCAGGGGTTTGCCGATCGCGTTGCCGACGGGAAAGAGCTTCCTCGCGACCTCGTACGCGAGCACGCAGTAGTTGCGTTCCTCCTCGATATCGAGATCGGTCAGGAAGCGGTTGCCGGGACGCTCGGCGAGGGCCAGACGCACCACCTCCATGTACTCGGGCGTGCAGCCGACCAGGCGGCCCTCCATCCGACGGGTGCCGTGGCGGAACTCGCGCCGCAGTTCCCTGATCGGCAGCACGGACTCGAGAGTTGGGATGGTCTCGCGGATGCGGCGGTAGTCGGCCCGCGTCAGCCCGTAGAGCCCGCCCTCAAAGTCGTCGCTCGAAGGCTTGATGGTCCTGACAATAATATTCTGAGCGCCCAGACCGGCGATCTGCTCCTGCGACTTGGCGCTGATGCCCTCACCGATCGCCAGCAGCCAGATCACGCTCGAGACGCCAATCAGGATGCCGAGCACGGTCAGCCCGCTGCGCATGGGGTGCAGCAGCAGGCTCTTGACGCTCATCCGCAGGGTGCGGCCCCAGTGGTTCATGACCGCCTCTCGTCGGATTGCACCTGACCGTCACGGAGCACAATGGTCCGCTTGGTCCGCTCAGCGACTTCGTCCTCGTGCGTGACGATGATTAGCGTGCGGCCCTCACGGTTGAGTTCGTCGAGCAGCCTGAGGATGTCGTCGGTGGTCTTCGAGTCGAGGTTGCCGGTCGGCTCGTCGGCCAGGATGAAGCGGGGGTCGTTGGCTAGGCTGCGGGCGATCGCCACGCGTTGCTGCTGGCCGCCGGAGAGCTGCGTCGGGCGGTGGTCCAAGCGGTCGCCGAGGCCGACCCGCTTGGCAAGCTCCTCGCAGTGCTCGCGCGATCCCTTGCCCAACCGACCGCTGTAGTACAACGGCAGTTCGATGTTTTCCACTACGGTAAGCGAGGGCAGCAGGTTGAAAGACTGGAACACGATTCCGAGGCTGGTGGCGCGGGTTTCGGCGAGGAGGTCGTCCGCCATCCGCGCGACATCGACGCCCCCCAGCAGGAACGACCCGGACGTCGGTCGGTCGAGGCAGCCCAGCAGGTTGAGCAGCGTGCTCTTGCCCGACCCCGAGGGCCCCATGATCGAAAGGTAGTCGCCAACGGGGACTTCGAACGAAACGCCACGCAACGCCTTGACGGTCTCACCACCCACGACGTAGTGCTTCTGCAGGTCGTGGATGCTGACGGCGGAGGATGAGGAGGTCATCTCGTGGGACGGTCGGGGAGACAAACGGGGAAGCGACGGACCACGCGGCGGCTCAGACGGCCTCAGCCGCCGTTCGCGGTTGACGGCGCGTCGGTCGACGCCACTTCGCCCTGCCCGCTAGCGGGGCCCTCAGGCTCCGGTTTGGCGGGGCCACCCCGCTGCGGCTTCTTCGCCAATTCGGGGAGCTGCACGTGGGCCAGCAGGTCGCGGGGGTTCATCGCGACGCGGTCACCCTCCTCGAGCCCGCTCTCGATGACGAAGAACCGATCATTGGTGGGGCCGCACTGCACGCGTTTGGCCTCCAGCCCATCGCCGCTGGGGACGAAGCAGTAAAACTCATCGCCGTGCGAGTAGACCGCCTGCACCGGCGCCTGCAGCACGTCCGGACTGCTGATGGAGTTGATCGTCACGCTGGCCGTCATGCCAGGACGCAGCTCATCCACGGAGGAAAGCAGCTCGACGTAGGCCTTGTACTCCTTGACGTTGGCCTTGCGCCAACCGGACGGCTCGGCGTACTGATTGATCCGCGCCACGCGTCCAGGCACGACCATGTCGTTCATGCCGATTGGCTTGACCTTGGCTGGCATGCCAATCTTGACATGCTGAACAAGCGACTCGTTGATGGTCAGCTCCACCCGCATCTGCGAAGTGTCGGGCAGGCGAATGATGGTCTGCCGCTCGCGGATCTCGGCGCCCTCCTCAACAATGAAGTCGTTGTCGCCACGGCGGTCGCTGACGTGGGCATACTTGACCACCCCGGCGCGCGGCGCCGTGATCACGCACTTCTCCACCTGGTCGTGGATGTCGGCCAGCTTGTCGGACTCTAGCTGAAAGCTGTTTTTCTCTGCTTCCCACTTTGCCTTGGAGATCAGGATATCGCTCTCCAACTGCTTAAGCATCTTGGCCTTGGTGAAGTCGTCCAGCACTCGCAGCTTGGTCTTGGCGGCCTCGAGGTCCTTGCGGGCCTTTTCCACGGCGAAGGCGTCGGCCTCGAGTTGCAGGTCGTTGACGTAGCCCTTGGCGGCCAGCTTCTTGCTGTATTGCAGGTACTCTTGGGCGCGGGTCAGGTTTTCTTCGGCAACAAAGACCTCGCTCTCTATCGTCTGACGCTCCTGCACGTACACGCCTTCCAGGTACTCCTGCTCGGCGATCACGGCGGTCTCGTAGATGTTGCGGGCCTCGACCACTAGCGCCTCGGCCGTGTTGACCGCGATCTGCTGGGTGGTGCGTTCCTCGCGGAGGGCCGAGGAATCGAGCTCGACCAAGAAATCGCCCCCCTCGACCTGGGTTCCCTCGGCAACAAGCTTGAGAATCGCGAGCCCTGGGGTGTTCTGCGTCTTCACCTCCGACCGGATCTCCGCATCGCCAACCGACTCGATCTCGCCACGCTCGGTGATAGCAAGATCGAAGTCTTTCCGCTCGATGTCGTAGAAAACAATCTCTTCGTGCAGCGATTGCTGGCGAAACGACGGTGCGTACGTGTAGACCGCAAGGGCGCCACCGCCGAGGATGGCGAGCGCTACCAGCAAGAGCTGGGCGGAGAATCCCCCCTGGCTCCGCCTGCCCACTAAAGACCGACAGATCGTCTGGCTGTTCTGGGTCATTACAATCCCTGCTCCATTGACCGTTGCGGGCGGCACAAACACAACGGTTGCGCCATCCCCCTCGGTATTTAACCATTATAGGCGGCCGAGGCGCCGCGTGCCCACCGGGGTTTCCTGCCCGCCACACTGCCAAAGGCGGGCCGCTACCCCGCGGCGTTGCCTAGTCTGCCGGCTCCGGCACGGGGGGCAGTCGGCGGGCACGCTCGGACGGCTGCTCCCATGACGCCAGGCTGATCTCCTGCCGGCGATTTACATCGCTGAGCTCTGCCGGGTACTCAAACACGGCAGGCGCCGACAACTCGTCGTCTCCCTCGATTTCCTCGGGGTTGACTACCCAGGGACGCGACTCGGGCGAGCAGGGCAGGGCGTACAGGAAGTCACGGAAGGGCGTCTCGATGGGGATGCGGATGCCGCGTTCGTCCACCCGCATCACTCCCAGGTCCCATTCCAGGTTAAGCCGCTGGACCTCGTTGTTCACCCACACGCTGAGGAAGTCGTTCTGCACGTTCAATAGGTCCGACAGCGCCTGCACCAGGTCGCGTGCGGTGGTGTTGCTGAGCGACGCTTCTTCGCCCGGCTTGGGCGGTTCAAACAGCCTCAGCTGGGTGATATCGACCTGGGCGATTGCGACCAGCACCGCCTCGCGGCGGAGCTCTAGGTTGATCTCGTTGAGCCGCACCTGGCGGAGGGTCGCCCTCAGCCCCTGGTACAGGCGGTCCACATAGCGGTAATAGGCCCGTCGGCCCTGCTGGTACTCGATCAGCGACTGCACGTAGACGTTGCGTTCGCTGAGCCGCGTCAGGGGCGCGTCGAACTGCACGCCCACCCTCAGTCGCCCATTGGATCCCCGCAACGCCAGTGGGTTGTCGCCCACATTGCCAAGGTCGCCGCTGAAGACGATGTCGAGGTCGCTGCGGAGGTCGTTGGCGTTAAAGGTGACCAGCCGCCAGGTGTCCACCAGCGCCGCCCGCGCGTTCATCCAGTCCCGGCGATGGTAGCTGGCGATCGCCAGCGCCTCCTCGGGGGTCAATTCGGTGGGCGGCGTGTCAACCGCGTCCAATCGTGCCCGTGCCTGGAGCAGCGACAGCTCAAGCAGCGCCGAAGAAAGCTGCGAGGTCGCTTCGCGGAGCGCCTGGACGTCCTCGCCCGCGGTCTTGTCCGCCGCGTCGGCCGACGCGGCGACCCGCCCGGAGAGGCGTTCGACCCGTTCGGCGATATTATCCAAGTCGGCTTGAAGTTGAGCAAAACGTTCATCGAGCCGGTTGGCGGAGAAAATCCCCGGGTCGATCCCCGCGGCGGCCACCTCGTCCCAAATGGCGAGCTGCTCCAAGTGATCCCGGCGGCTCGGCAGCGCCAGCTCCAGCCGCGCGACGTCCTCACGCACTACCGCTAGCTGCGCAACGGCCTGCTCCGCAATACGCTGGAACTCGCTCTCAGCAAGCAGGTGCTCGTCCGGCTTGGGCACCTCCTCCAACGCTGGTTCGGCTGGGAATGGCAGGCTGTTGAGTTCTTCAAGATCCGCGTCCCGCGTTGGCAGGTCGAGCTGCTCGCGGATCCGCTCGCGGAGCTCACCGGCGGCGAGCGTGGCCTCCGCCTGCAGCGTGACAAGAGACTCGTCGCGGAGATTAAACTTGCTCAGCATATCGTCGGTCAGCAGCAGCGGCAGGTCGGGCGGGAGCCCAAGGGTGATTTTGAAGTTGTCCAGCGATCCCTGCTGGCTGGCCTCGCTGCTGAGGAGTTGGCTCTGCGCGTTGTAGAGCGCCTGGCGGGCCAGGTCGACCTGAAACCGGTCGATGCGCCCGGCGTCGTACGACGCGACGAGCTGCTCGACGCTCTCTCGCAGCGCCGCGACGTTCGCCCGCTGGTTGCGGAGCACCTGCTCGCTTTGCAGCAGACCGACGTAGCCTCCGGCGGCCGCCGCGCCGGCTCCGCCCGTAAACCCGCCGCCGCCCCCGCCGCCGCCGACGCCAAAGTTGCCGCCGACGCGGCCAAAACCGCCGCCCCCAACGCCCGTAAAGCCCTCCAGGCCAGCGCCGCCGAAGAACCCGCCGCGGCGGCTGGCCCCGTCGCCCGCGTCGCGTCCGATGGCGACCTCCAGGTAGTAGCCGGAGCGGTAGCGCTCCATGCTCCGCACGTTGGACAGCAGGGCGCGCTCGGCGATCGTGAGCCGTTCGAGCACCACCGCCCGTCCGGCGCCTCGGAGCAGCGGCTGCACAAGAGTGAAGTCAAGCAGCGTCGTGCTGGCGTAGTTGTCTGGGCCGGAGAACTGCCAGACGAGCGAGTTCGCGAGGCCCACCACCAGTTCACTGCCCGTTGCGCCCAGCTTCTGCAGCCGCGTGGAGCCGTTCAACGGTGCGACATTCAATGTGCTGCCCGCCTGCCCGGTCCCGGAGCGCACGTGGCCGTCCGCTGTGTAGAAAAGCGTCGATCCGCCGAAGAACTGGGTGTCAAAGCGGAACCGCTCGAACGTTACGTCCAGCGCGGACAGGTAGAGGTCTTCTACTTCTTCCTGGTAGTCGGGCGCCTGCAAGAGCGCGGTCTGCACCGCGGCGGGCAGATCCAACACCAGACGCCCCTCGGCGTCCAGCGGCAGGTACTCGGTCCAGTTCGGGTTTTCGACAAAGGGGGTCTCGTCGGCGTCTCGCCATTGCCAGGCGCCTCGCTTGCCGTCAACGACCTGAAGGATTGTATTCGAGGCCGGGTCGTCCGGCGGCATCGGTGGCCGGTCCGGATCATTGGGATCGTACATCCGAGACGCCGGGTTGATGCCAATGCGGTAGCGTCCCGCCTGGCTTCCGGCGAGCGCCGCCTTCTGGTCGACGACACAGTTGGCCTGGCTATCTGCCTGAACGCGGTAGTGGTCGCGTGTGCAACCAACCACCACGGCCAGCAGCACCGCCACACCGCATATGCATCCGTATTTTCTAAGACCGATGCCCATCACGCCCGCTGCAGAGGAGGAATCAACAGTGTGCGCAAAGCGCACCCCTCTGCAACATTCGGGTGAAACCAGGGTGCGACTTTACCGGATGCGCAAACCTTGCCGAAAAGGCTCGGCCGCAATGCGGCTAACCCGCCGCGCGGCGCCCCAACAGCCCAGTTGCGAACGCCGCTGCTAGCAGCGGTACGCTGATGCAGGCGGCCTCCAACGGCCCCGGCACCACCCCGTTTACCGCGGCCCAGACGATGTACGCCGTGTACCCGACAAAGATCAGGAACATCGCCAGGCCCTCTGGCCGGGAGATCGAGTGGCCGCTCATGAAGACCGGCAGGCACGCGATCGAGACAGCAATCATCACCGGGATATCGAACATCAGGGCGCGGCTGCTGACCGCCACGCCGTCGGGGGCGACCAGCGCCGACACGCCCAGCACCGCCAGCACGTTCAAGATGTTGCTGCCCACCACGTTGCCAACGGCAAGGTCGCGGTGGCCCCGCATGGCCGCCACCAACGACGTGACCAGCTCCGGCATGGACGTGCCTATTGCCACGACCGTGAGGCCGATCACCAGTTCGCTTACGCCAAACATTTCCGCTAGCTGAACGCACCCATCTACCAGCAGATTTGAGCCTCCCACCAGCAGGCCGAGACCGAACGCCACCTGCAGCGTGCTAACAACGATCGACTTCCACGTGGTGGGGTCGCCTTCGGGCACGACATCCTCGAACTCGGCGGCAAGCTGCCGGCTCTCTTTCCGCCCCTGCGTAATCGTCCAATAGAAGTACCCGAACATGGCCAGCGTCATCAGCAGGCCGTCGATACGGGTCAACGAGCCATCCCAACCGAGAAACAGCAGGGCGACCGCGGCAGCCAGCATGACGGGGAAGTCGAGCTTGAAGAGCCGCGCCTGCACGGCCAGCGGAAAGAAGATTGCGGAGAAGCCCAGAATTAGCAACACATTCGACAGGTTGCTGCCGACAACGTTGCCAATCGCCAGGTCGGTGCTGCCGGTCAGGCACGCCTGAACCGAGACCGCGAGTTCCGGCGCGCTGGTCCCGAAGGCCACCACCGTGAGCCCAATCACCAGCGGGGAAACGCTGGCGGCGGCGGCCAGCGAAGACGCTCCCCGAACCAGGAGCTCGCCGCCTGCCACGAGGCCGACCAGTCCAAAAACAATCAAGAGAGCGATAACCAAGGGGCGCCTCACGGGGTCCGCAACTACCAGGTAAGGCTTAAATCGTAGCCTCCCTACCGGCGGCCGACTACCGACGACGCTTGCCGAAGCGGGCGTACCCAGGTCTAGCCAACCTGACGCACGACGCCCGTCACGACACCTAACACCTGGGCGGTGCGGCTGTAGATTGGCTCCATGCTCGAGTTGGCGGGCTGCAGTCGAATACGGTTCGATTCTGGGAACCAGTACTTGAGTGTTGACTCGCCGTCGTCGGTGATCGCCACCACGATGTCGCCTTTGTGGGCCGTCTTGGTGCGGCGGACGATTACCACATCACCATCGGCGATTTGGGCTTCGATCATCGAGTCGCCGCGCACCCGGAGCGCGAACTGATTTTTCTTGGCGGGGAACCACTCTTCGAAGCTAAACCGTTCTGCCTGCTCAATCGCCTCGGTCAGACTGCCCGCGGCGACCTGGCCGACGAGCGGGATCCCCTCTTCTTCGCGGCTCGCGTCGGTGAGCTGAATCGCTCGAGACATATTTGGTTCGCGGGTGATCAGCCCCTTCTTTTCGAGCGCTTTCAGGTGACACATGACACCGTTGGGCGAATTGATTGAAAAGTTCTCGCCGATCTCACGAACTGTCGGGCCGTAACCGCGATTTTGAATCAGGCCGCGGATAAAGTCGAACACCTCCCTTTGGCGGGGGGTAAGTTGCTCCAGCGACATGACAAAAGCCTCCAAAGTGCTTAAAAACCAGCCCTGCGAAGCACCGGACTTCTGCGGATGGGAATGCAACCCTCGCCCTTGGGGAGCCGATTAGGCATCCGACCGCGGGCAAGTTCTACCACTCAACCCACAGCGGCGGGCGTCTCGAAGAGCTACAATCGGATAGCCCGCCGGCAGCCGTCAGCCGCCGATGATGGCTTCGCCTGCTAAGCCAGCTTATGCTAGACACGCGTACACGGTCAATAGCGTATGTACAGTAATCGGTTCGCGGCCTCGGTTTTAACCAGCTTGGTCGCTACATTCTTGTTGCTAGCTGGCGCCCCGCGGTCTGCTGCCCAGAATCTCCCTGCCGAGTCTCCCGCGGCGACGCCTCCCGCTCGGTCGGCCCCCGAAGCAGATGCAGCACCGCCGCCAGTCGACGGGATCGAGAACGGCCCGACCCCTCCGCAGGACGCAGCACAACCCGCGGCGCCGAAGAAAGCTGAACCGGCCGACCAGTCGTCCCCCGAGGCGAAACGCCCGCCCAGTGAAGGGGCCTCCGAAAATTCCGCCGCCCAGGGTCAAAAGCCCTCTCCCACGGATGAGCAACCAAGCGCCGAGCAAGCGGAGGAGGCCGAGCGCAAAGCTCAACAGGCGGTGACGCGCCAACCGGTGTCTTGGAATGCTCAGATTGAAGCGGTCAGCAAAGCAAAGTCCCCGAAAGACCTTAAGGACCTGCGGCTGATCCAGAAGCAGGTGCGGTCGGTTGTCGAGTACGCCCGGCCAGCCACCGTCGGCGTGCAGGTCGGCGGGTCGATCGGCAGCGCGGTGATCGTCAGCGAGGACGGGCTAGCCCTCACCGCGGGCCACGTGGCGATGGAGCCGAACAAGCGGGTCATCTTCCTGTTCGCTGACGGCCGCCGCGCTCGGGGCATAACGCTCGGCGTCAACAGTTCGGTCGACAGCGGAATGATGAAGATCACCGACAAGGGGCCGTGGCCGCACGTGCCGATGGCGCCAAATGGATCGATCGCGCCCGGGGACTGGGTCGTCGGACTGGGGCAGCCGAATGGATACTTCCGCGACCGTGCGCCACCGGTCCGGCTTGGACGCGTCCTCTTCCAAGACGACAGCACCCTCTGCACCGATGTCACCCTAGTAGGCGGTGACAGCGGTGGCCCGCTTTTCAATCTCAAGGGGCAGGTGGTTGGCATCCACAGCCGTATCGGGCGCCGGATCGTCAGCAACTACCATGTTCCCATCGATCAGTACCACTCCACCTGGGACCGATTAGCGAGTGCGCAGGCGTGGGGCGGTGGCTTGGGGGGGACCGAACCGGCGCGCCACCGCGCGTTTCTCGGGGTGGCCGGGAACTCACTCCATGGGCCCTGCCAATTGACGCAGGTCTATGAAGGGCTCGCCGCCGCCCGCGCCGGGCTGAAAGAGGGCGACATCGTCACCCGTTTCGACGGCGAGGACGTGGAGAGCTTTGTCCAGTTCGGCAAACTCGTCAGCAGCCAGAAGGCCGGTTCAACCGTCAAGATCGAGGTCGAACGGGCGGGGAAACGCATTGAGTTCGACGTCAGACTTGGTATCGCCTCGGTAGACTTTCCCGGCGCGCCGCCGTTGGAATCGGATTCCTAACAGGAGCCCCGCATGAAGCTCAAGAATTGCTTGCTGTGCCTGCCATTGGCCGTGTTTCTGCTTGCCGCTCCCGCCGGGGGCCAGGAAGAGGACCAGGCGCCGTCGCCGGTGCCATCGCTCGACCAGGCCCGTGACATGTTCCAGGACGCGCTGGAGCGGATCTGGATCCCCAACTACCGCTTGACCGATGGGCCGCAGGTGCGGTCCGCCTTTAAGGACGCCGTGGCGGACGCCAGACGCTGTGTCGTGCAGGTGAAGTGTGATGACGAAGTCGTCGCGTTCGGCGGTGTTGTGGGCCCGGATGGCTGGGTGCTAACCAAGGCGACCCAGCTAACCTGCGAGCCTACCGTGCGACTGAACGACGGGCGGGAGATGGCGGCCCACCTGGTCGGCGTGGACCGCAGCTACGACCTGGCAATGCTGAAAATCGACGCCGACGGGCTCGAGACCTTGCCGCTGGACCAGGTCGCTGATGTCCGAGACGGCGACTGGCTCGCGACGGTCGGCACCGGCAAGGAGCCGATGGCGGTAGGCGTGCTGAGCGTCTCCCCGCGTCAGATCCCGCACCAGGAGGGCGTCCTGGGCGTGCAGCTGGAAGAGGCCCGCGACGGCGCCATGGTCGCCAAGGTCTTCCCTGACTCCGGGGCTGAGGAGGCGGGGATTCTGGTGAATGACATCCTGCTGAGCATCAACGGCAAGCCGACCGATAACCGACCGGACCTGATCCGAGAAGTTCAGAGCTACAGCCCGGGCGACGAGATCATTGTCGGAATTCAACGCGGCGTAAAGCAACTGCGACTCAAGGCGACTCTTTCGGGAAGGTCGACCATCATCGGCCCCAACCGCAGCGACTACCAGAACAACCTCGGCAGCGAGCTCAGCCAACGACGCTTCGGGTTCCCCTCGGCCCTGCAGCACGACACGGTGCTGCCCGCTGACAAGTGCGGGGGGCCGGTCGTCAACCTCGACGGCCAGGTCGTGGGCTTTAACATCGCCAGGGCAGGACGGACCGAAACGTACGCGATCCCCACATCGGTCCTCCGCGAATTGCTGTTCGACCTGATGAGCGGTCGCATGGCGCCGTCCGAGCAGGACAAGCCGGAAAAGAAGAGTTAAGCAGCGGCGCGGCTAGCCACGGCGTCGCAGGCAGGGCAGGGCGATCACGGCCAGCGCCGCGACCCCCGCTGCGGTCGGCTCAGGAACCGCACCCGCAGAAGCTTGACCGGCAGCGCCAAACGCGTACCTCCAAACGAGGTAGTCGGACGAGTCGACCAGCATGTCACCGTTGGCGTCGGCCAGCAAACCGGGCCCGGTCATCCCCTCGGTGTCACGCCACGTTGTGTAGTCGGCGGCGTCAACCACGCCGTCCGCGTTGAAGTCGCCAGCTACACGAGGCGCCCACGCGTTGTAGAACGAGAGCCCGAAATTCGCACCCAGGCCAAGGTAGTAGTCTGTGTTGCGCTGCCAGCTGAACTGGGTTTCGAAGGTGATCTCGACTTCGGCGCCCAGGAGTCGCCGCGCGAAGCCGGCGGTCGTGTAGCTCCCGCCGCCCGAGACCTCCTGAAGCACATTGGGCTGCAGCCGACGCAGCTCCTCCCACCAGTCGGCGCCCAGGTCGTCGGAGTTGATGAAAGCGAAGTCGTCGGGGACGCCGTGGTCCTCGTCGATCTGGTAGTCCGGCACGGTGGAGTGAAAATCTATAAAGGCGTCCACGCCCCCCGGCGTCGCGGTGACGTCGGCCATCATCGCCTCGCCGGTTGCGCGAATCTCCTGGCAATCGTCCCCGCCGCAGCCGTAGCTGCTGCTCGACCACCGACTCGGGTCCCACAGCCCGTTGGGGTCGCGGTTGATGTTCCCCACCGTCGTGCGGTTGGTCCCCATGAACCGCCCCGACGGGTTCAGCACGGGGTAGCCGTACACCTCGACGTGGTCGCGCACCCAGGCGGCGCGCGGGTCGTCAGACACGAGCCAGTCGACCATCCCCTGGTAGACCCAAGTGCCCAAGGGCTCTCCCGCGTGCAGGCCGCTGGCGATCACAATCTTGCGTTTTGACTCGGTTAGCGAATCGGTCGCGGGGTTGGTGATCCGGTATCCAAACACATCCTGTGCCGGCGCCTCGCGACCAAGGTCGTCGTGGCCGGGCGATGAGGAGCCAATCACGCCTGCCGCGTCTGCTGAAGCGGTTGGCGTCGCCCAAGGAGACTGCAGCACGGCCTGCGTGTGTGAGACCGATCGCCCGTACGAGTACGGGATCGCGTACGCGACGTAGACCTGATCCTGCGAAAATGGGGAGTTATTGGAGAACGTAAACGCATCGCCGTTCAGATGGTTCTTGTCAAAGAACGACCACTGCTCGCCGTCGTACGAGTAAACCATCTCGTGCTCCTCGAGCTCGTGGAGCCCGGGCGTGGAGTCGCCCGCAAAGTTGCTGCTGATGCTGAAGGCCGGGAGGGCCCCCTGCACGCCAGTAACCTGGAAGTGGAGCCAACGCCAGCGTCCGCCGCCGTAGTAGTTGTCGCGGCCCACAAGCTCGATCGTCCTGCGACCGCTAGACCAAGAGGCCAGTGCGCCATGATCAAAATCGCCGGTCAGGGTCACCTGAGCCAGCCCTAAGGAGCAGCAAGAAACGCCCATCGCCAGCCCTAGCCAAAGGCGCCACAGGCGAACCGTCCCCGGTGAACGGGAACATCGCTTACGCCGCAGCCGTGCACTACTCATCTGGGTTCTTGATGCCGTAGTTTGCGACGATCCCTAAAGCAAAGAACCCGACGCCGGACCACTTGAGCCAGGTGGCGGTGACTCGGGGGCCGTTGTACGCGTTATCGAACTCTGACCGCAACTGCTCCGCAATCGCCTTGACCTTGTCGTATTCGGCACGGGCCTCTTCGATGCTGCCGTGCCGGCGGGGCGGGCTAGGACTGTTTACGACGAAGCTAAGATTGTGGAGGCGGTCCTTGACGTCGGCCCACTGCTGCGCCTTGTCAGGGGTCCACGTGGACTGACCAGTGAATATCTGAGTCCAGAACAGACTCAGCACAAACAGGATGGCTCCGAGCCCAATCAGGCCGAATACAATCGCGGGCTTCATATCAATTTCGTTCAGCTAGGGCAGTCTGCGTCTAGTTCCTACGACGACTGCTTGTGCCGCCGATCTCTCCCTCGATATTCATCTGCCCATCGTTGATGCTGATCATCCTCGCCATCAGGTACCGATCGATGTCGTCGGGCAGCCAGGTGACGCTGCCGTCCACCAGCGACGCGTTAACGCCGCCGGGGTGCATGCTGCGGGGCGAAGCGCCGGTCCAGGTGCCGTTGTCAACGCTGCAGGGCATAAGCTCCAGGTCCGCCACCTCACGGTCTGGGCACTCACGCAGCCGATCGCTATTGCCGGTCGGCGTGGAGTTGGGGGTAAACGCGTCAATGTCGACGTTGCGGAATGGGTTGTAGTCCGCGTTGCGTGTCTGGAGAGTCCCGATGGGGTCGTCGCTGGAGTGCATGTCGTAGCTGATGATGCTGCCGCCGCAGTAGGCCGCCGACCACACGCCACGCGGATCGTTGGCGTTGTCTCTGGTCCTGACCTCGGTGAGCATCAATGTGTTGGTAGTCCCGTCCGTGAATCGGGCGAGCGGATGGACCTCGTTGATCAGTGCGCCCGGGTACACCCGCATGCCGTTCACGTGCTCTGGGCTCACGTAAGCGACAATATTGCCTTTAGCGAAGCTTAGATTTGGGTTCCTGCGGTCAGGGGAATACACCCTGCCCACGGCGCCGTCGGAGGGGCACATCATCGCGGACATTTGGTTCTTGCCCGGGGCGAGCGTGACGTCCTGCTTGTCTGCCCGCAAACTCAGATCAAACTGATCAGCGAGCGTTTGCTCTTCGACGTACGGGAGCACCCGCACCGCCCAGCTCAGGTAGGGCTCGATCAGGTCAACATTGGCGAACCGAGGGGTGCTGCCCGTCTCGGCGTCGGTGCAGGGGGGGAGCCCACCGTAGGTGTTCTCGTAGTTCAGCACCGCCAGCGTCATATTCTTGAGGCTGTTCTTGCACTGCATCCGGCGGGCCGCTTCGCGGGCCGCCTGGACCGCCGGCAATAGCAATGCGATCAGGATGCCGATGATGGCGATCACCACCAACAATTCCACAAGGGTGAAACCGCGATGCGGCGTCCGCGTCGAAGCGACGCGGGATGAAGAAAGCCGGTCGGTAGAGTACCTACGCATCTTCGAGGAGTCCTCCCATTCCAGCACGCGTCAACTGCGTGCGGTGTGTGACCTGGGTGTCGGAGCGCCTGTCCGGTCGATGCGGGGCGCGGCCGCGACGGCCGGCCCCGTATCTAACCCGAGTTTAGCCGAATGACAGCAGGCCTGCGACGCTCGCTTGGACGCCATTGCGCAGTTGTGTCTTCGCATTGCGCATGACCGTGCGCAACGCCTGTCGGGTCTGTTAGGGTAGGCAAATGCCGAACTAGCGACGCGAGGGGCAGCGCGTCGCCGGTTAGGGACGACTCGGTTGGACCTTGATTCGTCTCAACAACGCCACCGACGCATTCGCGGCGGGGATGGCAACACCAACTGTCACCGGAGAGCTCACAGCAATGACGACACCAATCGTTCGTCTCTCTCTTCACCCGATCCGCTCAATCCGACTTGCCATGCTGGCCCTGGCGTGCGTGGCCACGTCATCGGCGCCCGCGCAGATTGTGATTAACGAGATCGTCAAGGAAGAACGCACCGCCGGAAGTGGTTCTGTCGATCCCGACACCCGCGAATTTGTCGAGCTGTACAACGCGGGCGCCTCGGCGGTCAACCTGCAGGACTGGACGATCGGTCAGGTGGACCTGATCACCGGAGTGGAAGACTTTGTGGATCTGCTCCCCAACTTCGTGTTAAACCCCGGCGAGTACTTCGTCATCGGTGGCGCCTCGGCGGCCAATGTCGACTACAGCCCGTTCGACGACGACATCTGGGACGACGCCGCGGCAAAAATGCTTGAGCTCCGCGACAACTCAACCAACCTGATGGACGCGGTCGCCTACGACGTGTTCCGGACCGGAAGCGGCGGGCTCTCGATGCTCGCAGCAGACCAACTCGCAGAGATTGGCCGCGGCTTCCAGGGGCAGCTGCTCTCGATGAACGCCAACGCGCCGAATCAGCGAATCTCCTGGGCCCGCTACCGCGACGGCGTCGATTCCAACCAGAACGGCATCGACTTCGGCATACTGCCGCTCACGCCCGGCGCCTCGAACAACCTGCCACACGTCGCCGCTCACCAGGTCCCCGATGTTGACGGGCAGTCAGTAGGGTCAGCGCTTTCAAGCGACTATTACGCGTCATTCCTGATGCCACGCGTGGTTGACCCGACGGTGGCCAGCGGCATCAACCCGCGGGCGATCCCCGCCTCGCCCCAGGGTGGCAATGCGATTGTCGCCTGGGACGAAACCGGCGGCGGCAACGCCGCGTTCAGCAAGTCGACCACCGACAGCTATGACATCTACGCGTACTTCGACACCACGCCGCTGGGCGTGGCGGTCGACACGGCCGATGAGGAATTCGAAACGTCGATCTACGGCATCGGCTCCACCGACCCGTTCTCTGGAAACCCAGATCCGTCCGGCGGCATCTATGTCGAGGGCACGGTCACTCAGAACGGCAGCACCGGCATTGGGTGGGTCTACCAACAGTACGAAAACCCCACCGAGCCCACGCTCGACTTCTCGCGTCTGATGCTGGTTGACTTTGGCATGGGCGGGAACTCAACCGCCGAAGCCGGCGAATGGAACGTCATCCAGACTATCGACATGTCCGTCGAGGCATCGGGCTGGTACCGCCTTGGTCTCGACTACGACCCCGCCACCGGCGATGTCCTCGCAACCTTTGGCGAGGACACCTTCATGTTCACGACCGGCGCTGACCAGCGTGGAACTTTCTTCGTTGGGTACCGCGAGGCGATCACCAGCCAGGGCGACCGCTTCGACAAGCTCAATCCGCCGATCTACGACCTGTTCGTCGATGAAGGGGGCGGCCTGGTCGGTGACTACAACGGCGACGGCATTGTCGACGCGGCCGACTACACCAGCTGGCGCGACACCCTTGGCGACACCGTCACGCCCGGCGAGGGCGCCGACGGCAACGGCAACGGCATGATCGACTCCGGTGACTACGACGCGTGGGTCGCCAATTACGGCGCCGTGGCGTCGGGGCTGGACGCGTCGCAGACGGCGCCCGAACCGTCGGCAGTGTTCCTGCTGGGACTGCTGGGAGCCGGGCTGACCGGCGCGCAGCGCCGCCGTTCGCGGTAGCCGGCCCCAACGCACAGCAGCTTAGAAATCCAACCAACACGGGCCAAGGTCGCAACAAACCTTGGCCCGTGCTTTTGTCCCGAGCAGAGAGATCATGCATATCGTAACCTTCCAGACCACTATCTGTCGGATGCTTGTCGCCTGCGTGCTCGCCCCCGGGCTTCAGGCACTGACATCAACCGTGTTTAGCGCCGAGTTTGATGCCGACGCGCTTAACTCGATTGAGCCATTGGTTGAACAAGCCATTGGCCGCGGCGAGTTGCCCGGCTGCGTGGTGGCGATTGGCGACACCCAAGGCGTCACGTACCTGGCGGCCTTTGGCGACCGGTCGGTGGAGCCGGAGCGTGTCGCAATGACAACTGACACGGTGTTCGACCTTGCCTCCCTGACGAAGCCGGTCGCCACCGCCACGAGTGTCATGCGTCTGCTCGAGCGAGGAGAACTGAGGCTCCGTGATAAGGCCGCCGATCTGCTTCCGGGGTTCGGGCAGAACGGGAAGGAGGAGATCACGGTCGAGCAGTTGCTGACGCACGCCAGCGGACTGATCCCCGACAACCCGCTAGCCGACTACCGCGACGGAGAAGAGGTTGCGTGGGAGCGGATCACCAAGCTCAAGCCAGTCGTCCCGCCCGGAACCAAGTTCAAGTACTCCGACGTCAACTTCCTGGTACTGGGCCGTATTGTCGAAAAGCTCAGCGGCAAGCCGCTAGATGAATTTGCGGCGGACGAGATCTACCGCCCGCTAGCGATGGACGAGACCGGCTACCTGCCCAGTGAGCCGCTCCGCGAACGGGCGGCGCCGCACACCAAGCGTCCCGACGGAAGCTGGATTGTGGGCGAGGTGCACGACCCGAGGGCGGCATTGTTGGGAGGAGTGGCGGGGCACGCGGGGCTCTTCAGCACCGCCGAGGACCTGGCGCGTTGTGCGCGGATGATGCTTTCCGGGGGCGCCCTCGACGGCGCCGTCATCCTGAGCGAGGCCACCGTCTCGGAGATGACCCGCGGCCGCGAAGTTGGCGGGAACCTCCGTGGGCTGGGCTGGGACTCCAACAGCGTCTACTCGCGCAACCGCGGCGAGCTGATGTCCGAATCTGCGTTCGGCCACAGCGGTTTCACCGGCACGAGCATGTGGATTGATCCAGGGAACGACCTGTTCGTGATCTTCCTGTCAAATCGTCTTCACCCCGACGACGACGGGTCGGTCAACGACCTGATCGGTCGCATCGGCACGATTGCTTGCGCAGCGGTCCGGCGACCTAGCGCCCCGCAGCAAGCTGGTGCCGGCGCCCCAACCAGGGTGCGGCTGGGTGTCGACCAACTGCGGGAGGACGGTTTCCAGGCACTCGCCGGAAAACGAGTCGGCCTGATCACCAACCACACCGGCGTTGACAGCCACGGCGCCCGCACGATTGACCTGCTGGCTGAGGCCCAGGGCGTCGAACTCGTACGGCTCTTCAGCCCCGAGCACGGCCCCAGCGGCGTGCTTGACCACGGCGGCATCAAGGACGCTGAGGACGAAAAGACCGGCTTGCCGGTCGCCAGCCTGTACGGCGAACGCCGCAAGCCCGCCCCCGAGCAACTTGAAGATCTCGACATCCTGGTGTTCGACATCCAGGACATCGGCTGCCGCTTCTACACGTACATTTCGACAATGCGGCTTGCGATGGAAGCGACCCATGAGGCCGGCCTCACGTTCGTCGTGCTCGACCGCCCCAACCCGATCGACGGCGTCACGGTCGAGGGGCCGATGCTCGACGCGGGCAGCGAGTCCTTTGTCGGCACCCACCCGCTGCCCGTGCGTCACGGCATGACCGTCGGCGAATTGGCGACCTTGTTCACTAAGGACAGCGCCCAACAGGGGGAACTCGTCGTCGTGCCTGTCAGCGACTGGGACCCCACCGAGGACCTCACGCGGAGCGGGCAGCTGTGGATCAACCCGTCGCCTAATATGCGAAGCCTGCGGGCGGCCTTGCTCTACCCGGGCGTCGGGCTGTTGGAGACCACCAACATCTCTGTGGGCCGCGGAACCGATACGCCGTTTGAGCTGGTCGGCGCCCCGTGGATTGACCCGTGGGACTTCGCGGACGCAATCAACGCCGCTGGCGTGCCAGGCGTGCGGGCCATCCCGCGGTACTTCACCCCCGACGCAAGCAAGCACGAAGGCGACCGCTGTGGCGGCGTCGGACTGATTGTGACCAACGCTAAGGAGTTCCCGTCGGTTGACCTCGGGCTCGCGGTCGCCTCGGTTCTGAGGAGGCTCTACCCTGATGATTGGGAGACCAAACAGTTCAACCGGCTGCTGATTAATCAGGACGTCTTCCAGGCCACGGTGGACGGCGCCCAACTGCCCGAGCTGCACGAGCTCTCTCAACGCGGCGTGGATGAGTTTCTGCGTCGTCGTGAGTCCGCGTTGCTCTACCCACGCTAACACGACCGCGACGCTAACGGAGCGGGACTCGCAAACCGTCGTAGGCCAGCTCCATCCCTGCGGGAAGCAACGCGTTGGTTGCTTCGTGTTCCAGGTCGTGCGACATGTGCGTGAAGTAGGTCCGGCGTGCGCCCAGTTCCGCAGCCAGCGCGACCGCCTGGTCCAGACTGAAGTGGGTCGGGTGCGGCTTGTGACGCAGCGCATCGAGGATCAACACATCGAGGCCACGGAGCCGAGCCTTGCTCTCGTCCGGCATGGCGCAGACGTCCGTGCAGTATGCGATGTCCCCAAAGCGGAAACCGAGCGTCTCGAAGTTGGGCCCATGGTTCTGCCGGAACGCCGTTACCCGGGCGCCCAGCACGGCGAACTCGGCGTGCCCATCGTTTACGGGGCCAATCCGTTGGAACTCGACCTTTGGTGTGGCGCCGGCGTGCAGGTTGGGGAGCGAGGCGAACGCGTAGTCGAAGGACCGGCGGATGCGGCGTTCAACAAGCTCCTCGCAATACAGCGGCAGCGGACCGTCCAGGTAGAACTGCATCAGCCGCAGGTCGTCCAGACCAAACAGGTGGTCAGCGTGCTCGTGGGTGTACAGCACCGAGTGGACCAACCCCACGCCCTCCCGCAGCAGCTGCTGCCGCATGTCTGGCGAGGTGTCGATTAGCAGGTTGCCCTCCGGCAAGCCAAGGATCACGCTGCACCGCGTGCGGTTATTCTTGGGATTTATCGACGTGCAGACCTCGCACGCGCAGCCTAGCATTGGCACGCCGACGCTGGTGCCGGTGCCGAGCAGGATCATCTGTCCGGCAATGTCGGTCGAAACAATTTCATTCATCGGCGTGCGTGTCGGCGGCGGAGGGGATCCCGCACCCATTGTGGAGGAGGGCAGGGCGGTGTCTAGGGAGTCGGGCGGGGCAGGGGGGCCGCCGACGATCCTGCGAACACTACGGCCCCTGATCGGCCGCCAGTGCCGTCCGTAGACGCTCGGCGAACACGTAGCCGACGATCCGTTCGCGTTCATCCCGCACGGCGGCCACCTCGCGGTTGGCGGACTGCATGTGTAGGAGCGTGGTCAGGAAGTTGCGACTGACCGGCGCCGTCAGCAGCTCGCGGATGGGGAGCAGCGGGTCATCGGGGTCCAACAGGCAGTCGAGCACCCGCACGTACCCGGCGCCATCACGGAGGACGACGAACTTTTGCTGACGCCGGCGGGCGAATTGCACCAGTTCGCGTCGGCTCATCGTCGGCTCGACCTGCGGCAGGCGGGCCGCGGGGACCATAAACTCGCGGATCGAACGGGCCGCCGCAGCGAAGGTGCCCTGCGCCAGCCGCCGCTGGGCGGGCGCCAGCAGACCCACGGCGTGACCTTCGTCCAGCACCTCGCCCAGTTCGCGGCGGGCGAGTTCCATCCGCAGGGCCTGTGAGGGAACGCTCGCCACCCGCTGCAGGACGTAGCCCACCACCCACAGCGCCGCGCTGATCGGGGCGAACAACACTGCCGCGACGGATAAACCGGGCGCACACAGACGCAGCAGCCGATTGGGCGCCGCGAAGAACAGGTTCTTCGGCAACAGCTCGCCGTAGACAAACACAACCGGCGCCAGTGCGATGGTAAGCCCCATCTCCGACGCGGCGCCGCCGCCGGGAATCAACATCTGGGCGAACAACACCGTCGCGCACGACACGACGTAGTTGGCCACGTTGTTGCCGACGAGCGCCGTCGCGACAAACGCCGCGGGGTTGTTGATAGCCCACAACAGCATCTTGGCGATCCGGCTGCCGTCCAACGCGTCGATCAGCACCCGCACCCGTGCGATGCGGTAAAAGCCGGTCTCCGAGCCGCTGAAGAACGCGCTCAGCATCAGGCCGACGGCGAATAGCAGCGTGGCGAGCCACATGGCGATGGACGGTTCTCCTTTCTGACTTAGCTGGTGGCCGGGTTATCGGGCGTGAGAATCCTGCGGACCGAGGCGGTCAGCAGGGTAGGGTGGTCAGCGGTCAGCACCCGCCAGTGGTGGTCGGCCCATTGCACCTCGTCGCCCTCTTCGGGCAGCCGGTGGAGCTGCTCTTGCAGCATCCCGGCGACGGTGATGCCTTTGACCGCGGGCAGCTCGACCCCCAGTTGCTTGCCGAGCCGGCGGAGCGTGGTCATGCCCGTCACTTCCCATTGGCCATCGCCGATCGCGCGGATGCGGCCCACCCGGTCGGCGCCCCGGTCACGCGCCGCCTCGGCGTGCAGCACGCTGCCGAGGATGTCGTAGCGGGTGACGATGCCGATGGTCTCGCCGAGCTCATTGATTACCGCGGCGACATCCCGTTTGGTTGAGTCCATACGCGTCAGCGTGTCCGCCACGCTTGCGCACCAGGGGGCGGGTAGAACGGGCGAGCTGAGCTGACCGATCTGCTCGCCCGCCAGCAGTGCCAGACGATTCACGTCGATAACGGCGGCGATCTCCTCGCTCTCTGGCTCGGTGATCAACAGGTAGCCGCTGGCGGTGGTCTGGGGGGTGAGCTGCGAGCGGGTGACCGGCGGCGAGAGCGCCTCGTAGAGCAGGCGGGGACGCATGATCTCCTCGATCCGCGTGTTGGACAACGCGACGATCCGGCTCAGCACGTTCTGCTCTTGTTCGATCAGCTGGCGGTCCTCACCGGACAAGCTGATGGCGCGTTCCAGGTCGCCCAGCTCGAGGTACGGCTCCGGCTCGAAGCGGGGGAAGAGCACGCGGGCCGAGCCGCGACTCACCGCGCCGAACACCCAGGCAATCGGGTCGAGAACCTGGGCCGTAGCGCTCAGCGGCACGCTCACGAGGGTCGCGAGCCGTGCGGGCCAGACGACGCCGACATTCTTGGGCAGCATCTCGCTGAAGATAATCACGGCGAACAGCGCGCCCACCGTGAGCGCGGACGCCTCGCTGCTGGCGCCTCGGTTGCTCAGGCCAATCGCCATCAGCGAGGCCAGCGCAAAGTACGCCATGTTGACCATCAGGTTCCAGAACAAGATCGCCGTGAGCAGCCGCTCTGGGTTGGAGAGGAGCTGCGCAGCGGTTCGCTCGCCCAGGGCGCCGCTTTTCATCCGCTCGCGGTCCTCACGCCCCAGGTAGAACAGGGCGGCCTCGCTGCAAGAAAAGAACGCGCTGGCCGCGAGCAGGACGGCCATCGCTATCAGGTGCGGGATGTAGGGCGCGAGGATTGCCAAGTCGGTGGAAGACGAAGGTGAGGGGCCGCGCGGGAAGGCCGGGCAGGATCAGCCGGCGACGCTCGGGGGTTCGCAGTGGTTGTACCAGATATCTCAACTGCCAAAAGCGGGGCGGGACGGCCGGAACGCCGCTGCCCGCCGTCTCACGCGTCCCCGGAGGTCGTGCGCCCGGTCGCGACATCAAACTCTGAGAGGGCCGGCACGAGCATCGCCATCGTGGCGAAGCCGAACGTGGCGACGGTCGCGGCGAACACCCAGTCGTAATTTCCTAGCAGGAAGCTGACGATGGCGTAGAACACCGCGAACGGGGCGGTGAAGCAAGCCAGCCCCATGGCCGAGGAGGGGTTTCGCCAGCCGAGGGCGGCGAACAACGCGATTCCGCCACCGAGCATGAAGCCGAGGAACGGCGCCAGCTGGTACTCAAACGACTGAGACAGCGCCAGCATCATCCGCATGCAGGTCGTCACGCCAAGGAACAAGAACAGCAGCGTGCCAATGCTGGCGCCGATCGCCTGGCGAGAGTTCGGGTACATCATGCCGGCGTGTAGCCCCAGCATCGCGGCGAAGGCGTTCACCACCGCCAATCCAATGAGCAGGAACACCAGGTTCTCGCCCCCCAGGCTGCCGGTCCACCACAGGTAGACGCACAGCGCCATCGGAAGCAGGATCATTTCCTTAGCGTTGTAGAGGACTCCGCCCAGCTTGCCGAAGATCAGCTCCTTGGGCGTCAGGTCAGTCGCCAGCAGCAGGTCCAGCGCCTTGAGGTCACGTTCGTTCGTCAGCGAGGTGACCGACAACGCGTTGACCAGCACAACGCTCAGCACGAAGAGCGGAGCCAGCATGGTCGTGGAGGTAGAAATCGTCGCGGCGGCCTCGCCGCTGGCGGTGTCGGCGTTGTTCGCCACCGCAGCCCCAAAGGCGGCTAGGCCGAAGATGAACAGGTAGCCAAGCTTCACCACCAGGATCTTCTTGCCGTAGGCCCAGGTACGGACCTCACGCCACAGGATCGGGTTGTCCCACACGTGCCGTGGATTGCCGGGCGCCTTGTGCGATTGGAGCCGCCGAGCGTCCGCGGCGGCCGGATCGTCGGTGATCCACGCGTCGTCGTTTGACTGGGCGTCGGGGCCGGTGGGCCGCGCCTCGCGGGACGGGTTCCAGACACGCACCATCACGACGGCGACCGCGTTGAGCAGCACTACCAGCAAACCGCCGGCGATCAGGAAGCTCGTCACCGAGCGACCAACGCCGGCTTCGGCATACGCGGGCTGCACCGCAATCTGCATCGCCTGCCAGGGGCTCATAATGGCCGCCCAGGCGGCCGCCTGTGGCGCGACGTCATTTAAACCTCCCGCCGCGGCGAACTCCCAGCCCACCAGCCACAGGACGATCACCAGGCCCGTGATGGCCAACGCCTGAAAGGTCTTCTCCCGCCACAGCGCGACCGTCGATCCCAGGCTGCCGGCGGCAAGCGCCGCCACCACGGTTACGGCCGTGACGCGGGCCACCTGGGCGTAGGTCACGCCGCCCAGCAGCGTCAGGAGCATGAAAAACGGCACACTGGCCGCGATCACCATCAACACCGTAAGCATGCTGGCCAACAGCTTCCCGACAACCAGCTCGGAATTCGTCAAATCTGAGAGCAAGAGCAGGATCAGGGTCTTGCGGTCCTTCTCCTGAGAAACCGCTGCCGCGGACAGGAGCGCCGAGAACAAGACGCACACCGTCAGCTGCAGCGGCGCGAGCAGCGTAAACGCCGCCGCGCCGAACCGCGCCAGGTCGCCCGGGTTGGTGACGTTCTGAGATCCCACAAGCACCTGCCAGGCGGTGAGCGTTAGCCCCAGCAGCGTCGCGACAAACAGACAAGGGACCGCATAGAATCGCACCCGCCGCGGAGCGGTCAGGGCTTCACGTGAGAAGACCGGGCCAATGAACAACGTGAGCCTGCTGGCTGGAGTGCTGGGGCTGTCGCCGCCTGGTGGGGAAACGTCGCCTTTCAGTATAGCAGCGGGTTTTTCCCGGCAGAACCAGCCCCGAAACGAACATAACGGGGATTATCGGACGTTCACCTGTCGCAGCAGTGGGCGACGCCCTGCAACGCCGCCCACTACGATTCGTTTTCTCTAGACAAGGGTGAGGCCCGCGACCGCCTGCTATTGCTTCGCGTAACCGAGCGACTTCACCACGCTCAGCAGCTCGTCCGCATCGATGAACCGGCGACGGTGCTGGAGCTTGTACCCGTCGATCGCTCGCGCGAGCTCCGCTGCTTCTGGGCTGAGCTCGCTGTGGCTGTTGACGAACTGGCGACGCTCACGCGTGGCGCTGCCCGGGGTGCTGCTCCGACGGTCTACGAATACCGGCGGGCTTGAGGGCGCCCCGGCAGGGGATGGCGTGGCGGTTGTGACCGGCGACACGGGTGGTAGGGATTGAGTCGACATGCTGGGCTCCTGGTAAGTTTAGCGGGTTTGAGGTTTGTGCAGCGCCCGCCACCGCAAACGTACTTTATCCATCGGCGCCCGACGCGCAGGACGGCAGCCCGGCCGCGAAGTTCGGATTCCAAGGACGGCGCCGCGCCGGTTATCGCAGACGTGACGGTTGTGCGTTTAGGCGGGCCAGCAGGTGCTGACTAGGCAGGTGGTTCCCATCCGCCGCCAGCGCCTGCTGGACCGCGGCGACCGCGGCGAGTTTGCGCCCAGCGGCGGCCTCGGCCTCAGCCAGCCGACACAGCAACACCGGGTCCTGCGGCCAGCGTTCCGCCGCCCGCCGGAGCCCGGCCGCGGCGTCCTCATTCCTGCCAAGCGACGCGTACGCGTCGGCTTCCATGATGAGTGGATCGACCGGCGCCTCCCCGTGCGGGAAGGTTTCGATCAACCGGTGCACCGTGGCCAATCGCTTGTGGGGCTGCTGTCGCTGGCCGTACAGGCGAGCCAGGTCCGCCAAGACGTCGCGGTCGTTGGGCGAGTACTCGAGCGCGCGGAACAGGTCCGCCATGGCCCGTGCGGGCTCGCCGGTCTCGAGTCGGGCGCGGCCGCGGAGGGCCCAGGCGTCCGACAGCTTGCGGTCGTCCTGCAGAGCCTGCTGGGCTCGGCTGAGGGCCAGCTTCCATTCGCCCACGGAGGCCTCCATCTGCCCGAGGCGGCATACGGCCGTGGCGTGGTGCGGCTCCTCGGCGACCGCCACCCGCATGTGGCGGATGGCCTCGCTGTGCTCGCCGCGTGCCCACAATGTTTCCGCCAGATGCCGGCGGGCGTCAGCGTCCTGGGGCGCGGCGTCAACCGCTCGACGGAGCAGCGCTTCGGCCTGCTGGCAGTCTCCCTGCTCGAGGGCGGTTACCCCCTGACACGAGAACTGCCGGCACTGGGTGACCGCCGCGTCGACGGGCATCCGCTGGCGGAAAGCGTTGCAGCCGAGGCAGACTACCAGGCAGGCGCCCGCTGCCAGTCGCAGCGAGAAACGCCACTTCGGATTGAGGATTACAAGTTTCATCCGCGCCGCGAGCCATCCTTATCCGCCCCCGTCGAGAAGAGCGTCGAACGGTAGCAACCCTACCCTGCCCTTTCAACACGACTTCAACGGTTACATCGACAGCAGGCCGGTGCTAGGATCGGCTCAAAACCAGCCGCAACGACTAAACAAGCAAGGCAATGCCCGCAAGATACGAGAGACAAGGGTTTTCTTTTCAGTACCCCGACAACTGGCAGCTGGAGCAGGGCGAGGATGACGAGTCATCTTTGCAATTGACCGTCCTGAGCCCCAACACCGCGTTCTGGTCGTTGAGCGTCTACCCCGGGCTCCGCGACGTTCGATCCGTCTTGGACGAGATGCTGCAAGCAATGCAAGCAGAGTATCCCGCGTTGGAGCACGACCCGGCGGACCGCTGGATCGAGAAGACGCCGCTTGTTGGTTACGATGTCAACTTCTACTACCTCGACCTTACGAACACGGCCCAGCTGCGGGTGTTCCACCACCGGGACGCCACCTGTGTCATCCTGGCTCAATCGGAAGACCGTGAGCTAGATGTCGCGGGCAAGATCTTCGACGCAATGACCACCAGTTTGCTTAGCGATTGAAATTCTTACACGCTCAGCGGCGGCCCTGGCGGTCGACGGATGCTTAAATCTTGTCCGCCGGCGGCCTGCAGGTAGGCGGCAACTCCATGGACCAACGCCTCGCGAGCGCCACTGGCACGGCATCTGCATTCCACTACCCCGACGCGGCCGAACGACGGGACCCCGCACCCGCCGTCGCCCGCTTCGATGCGAGCAACGCAGTCGCTGCCGGCGCCGTAGTCGGCCACGCCCACCACGGGAATGCTGCTTCGCAAATCCAGGAACCCCGCTTGGCGTCCTCGCAGAGCCAAGCGGGGTTCTTTGTTGGCCCCCGCCCTGCCCTGCCCTTCTACCCAATACGGGCGCGGGGCGCCGAGGGAGCGGCCGATCATGCCTGAGTCGCGCGATCTCCCGCCGCTAGAGCACACCCACACACCTGAGGCAATTTCGGCCCGCCTGGCCCAGGCCCGCGCACCGGACGACCTGGGAGATTTCGTCCTGGGGGCCGTTGATGGCACGGTCACGACCTTTGCAATCGTGGCGGGCGTCGCGGGGTCGGGGCTGCCGGCGGGCGTCGCGGTGGTGCTGGGCTTAGCAAACGTGCTAGCCGACGGATTCAGCATGGCGGTCGGCAACTACCTCAAGACCAAGTCCGATCACGAGGTGCTTGATCGCTACCGCCGACGTGAGATCCGGCACATTGAGCGCGAGCCCGCCGGCGAGCGCGAGGAGATCCGACAGATCTTCGCCGCCAAAGGATTCAAAGGCGAAACCCTTGAAGAGGTCGTGAGAGTCATCACCGCGGATCAGCAGCAGTGGGTCGAAACGATGCTGCGGGAGGAGTTCGGCCTGCCGACGTCGCCCGGGCCGCCGCGGCGGGCCGCATTGATCACCTTTGCCGCGTTCGTGACCGCCGGTCTTGCTCCGATTGTCCCCTTAGCCTTTTCACGCATCCTGGGCCCCGGTTACACGTTCGGCCTGAGCGCACTGGTAACGCTGCTCGTGTTCGCGGCAATTGGCGCCGTCCGAGGCCGGGTCACCCAGACGTCCCAGCTGCGGGGCGCGGCCGAAACGCTGCTAATAGGCGGATCGGCGGCGGCACTGGCCTACGTGGTGGGACGGCTCCTGCGGGGGTTCATCGAGGGCTGAGCCACGATCGCGGTGCGATGTAACCGCCGACGAGACACCGCAACCCGAGCCCATCAACGCGATATTGCGCAGACGAATCGCGACTCTCCGCAGGCGGGCCTCGATCGGGCAGCGGATCATTATAGTGGGAGAAATCGACAGGCGGGGCCTTCATCGCAGGGCAAGCGGAACCTAGAGGCGGGAAAGTGCACGCGGCTTTCGTCGCGGAACTAACTTCGACTTACTCACCCACCACGCACCCAGGATCACCATGACCCTACGCCGACCCCTGTCGGCACTCCACGTGACGGAGTGCTGCATCGCGCTGTCTGCCGCCCTTGTTTGCGGCCCAGCCTCAGCCCAGATCTTTACCGACGGCCTCAGCAGTGGCGCCAACTGGACGGTCCAACAGACCCCAGACGCCTCGGCGACCTTCGGGTACGACTACTCGCAGGATGGCCTTCCGGCCGCCCCCAACGGCAGCGATACGATCGGGTTAAAATTCGAGGTCAACAATTCAGCCCCCACCGGGGCTGAGGAAATCGGCGCGTTCACCCAGGTTGCCAACCTTCCTACCGAGTACACGTTTCGAGTCGATATGTGGTTGAACTGGGCTCCCGACGCCGGTGGCGTGGGTTCGGGCACCACCGAGTTTCTTGGCGCGTCGGTAGGCCACCTCGGTGACGCCCCGGGGCCGTTCGGAGCCTCCTTCTTCTACAGCTCCGAGGGGGACGCGGCCGCCACCGACTACCGGTTGTACAAGGACGATTTCCAGCTTCAGTCGGAGAGCGGGGAGTACGCCTTGGGGACTGAGGCCGGCTCGCGTGACAGCTCGAACCCCATCATCCAAGAGGCCTTCCCCTCCTTCGACATTGCTCAGGCCGTGCCGGGCCAGGGAGCTACCGGCACGCAGCCGGCCGGAGCCGGCGGCTTCCAGTGGATGACCCTCAACATCGAGGTCGACTCCGACACGATTGGTCCCGCGGGAACTTCCCCCAACCCGGGCACCGCCCACTTCACGATGAAGAGCGCCGCCTCAGGGAAGGTCCTCGACATTGGCACCATCGATTACAGCAACACCGACGACGGCTACGTGTACCCGGACGGGTTTCCGATCGACCTCAGTCAGGACTTCTTCGGTTTGCTGATGGCGGACCTCTTCTCGTCGGTCACCCTTAACCCCGATTACAGTTTCGGTGTGTTCGACAATGTGCAGGTGCTCGAGGGCCTCGTGGCGCTTGAACCTGACGCGCCCGCCGGCCTGCCGGGCGACTACAACGAAGACGGCACGGTCAATGCAGCAGACTACACCGTGTGGCGGGACGCGCTGGGCGGCGCCGAAGCGCTCCCCAACGACGACACCGCCGGCGTCGGAGCCGACGACTACGACCGCTGGCGTGACGCGTACGGCCAGACCACGGAGCCGATGACCGCCGCCTCGACGGCGCCGGAACCGGCTGCGGTCGCACTGCTGATTGCGGCGGGTCTGGGCACGGTCGGTGGCCGCCGCCGTGGCTAGCGGTCAAGCATTGTTCGCGTGAAGCGGATCCAACGAGAAGCGGCGGGCCGAGGAATCGGCCCGCCGCTTTTTTTATGCCGTGATTTTAACTGCAATACACTTTCGCCACGCAATTCCGCCGCAGGCGATGGCCCTGATTGGATCCGTTACGCCAAGGCTTCCGACACCATCTTGCCGATCTCGTCGGTCCCGTAGCCTGAGCGGTCGAGGTTTTTGCCGGCGAACTTGGGAGTGACCTGCTTGACCGCGGCGCCAATCTGCTCGCCGCACTTCACCGCGGGGGCATTGTTCTTGATCCGCCCGGTCTCGCGGAGCAGCAGGCCAAGCGAGTCGATCGTTGCGATCGGGTTGGCGAGATTCTTGCCGGCAATGTCGGGCGCCGAGCCATGCACAGGCTCGAACATCGAGGGGGCGTCGCCGTCCGGGTTGAGGTTGCCGCTGGCGGCCATGCCCATCCCGCCGGCGATTGCGGCGCCGAGGTCGGTGATGATGTCGCCGAACATGTTGGGCACGACGATCACATCGTACACCTCGGGACGCTGCACCATGAACATGCAGCACGCGTCGACGTGGTGGTAGTTGGTCTCGACCTCGGGGTAATCCTCGGCAACCTCTTGGAAGGCGCGGTGCCAGGTGTCGCCAGCGAAGGTTAGCACGTTTGTCTTGTGCACCAGCGTCAGGTTCTTCCGCTCACGGGTCTTGGCGAGCTCGAACGCGTAACGGATGCAGCGTTCGACGCCAAACCGGGTGGAGACCATCGTCTGCGTGCTGACCTCCTGCGGGGTGCCCTTGCGGACATAGCCGCCGACGCCGCAGTACAGGTCCTCGGTGTTCTCCCGGACGCAGATAAAATTGATGTGCTCGTCGGTCTTGCCCTTGAGCGGCGTCTCGATGCCCGGGTAAAGGTTCACCGGCCGAAGGTTGATGTACTGGTCCAACTCGAACCGGAGCTTCAGCAAGATCCCCTTCTCAATGACGCCACCGGCGAGCCGCGGGTCATTTGGCAGCCCCCCCACGGCGCCCAGCAGGATCGAGTCGAACCCGCGGAGTGTCTGGACATCCTGCTCGTCCAGGACGTGACCTGTTTCGAGGAAGTGGGCCGCGGAGAACGGGAACTCAGTGACCTCGTATTCCAGGCCGCAACCGGGGGCGGCGGCCTTCAGCACCTCAAGCGAGGCGCCGACAACTTCGGGGCCAATTCCATCTCCGGCAATTTGTGCAATCTTCAAGGGCTGGGCCATGTTTCCGACGAGGGCTTGCGGTCGCTGGTTGTGGGGAAAAACGCCCAGTTTATCAGCCGGCGACCAAATGGGGCAGATCCCGCCTGCTCAGCACCGCCACGGGCCGAAAGGATTACGCGGGTTGTAGGGGTCGGGGCGGCGCGGCGGCGGCGAATCCGTTGGCAGTTCCCTCAGGGCGACGCCGGAGCCGGCCAGCCGGCGGTCCTGTCCTATGCTTGGGTTAGTGTGCCCTGCCCTGCCCCCTAGCCCACTCCTATGCAGTACCTAATTGAACGCGTCAACAACGTGCCCGGTGACACTTGGCGGTGGTTCTCCACGCTGAGCCGTGACGAGTGGATGATCGTCTTGGCCGCGGTGACGGCGCTCGGATTCCTCTGCATGCGGGGCTTCGGCTCGCGTAGCAGTTACTGACCCCCAAGCCCCTGTGGCCTCAAGCGATGATCGCCTCCTTTTTTCAGCTGTCGTCCTACGGAATCCCAGAGACGGTTGCCCTGGCGGCTGTGGCGGTGCTCGGGTACCTGTTCGGTCGCCGGTCATCCGGGACGCCCGAGCCGTCTGACGTCTCCGAAGACATCCAACGGGCAACCGCAATCGCCACCGAACTGGAGAGTATTGCGGGTGAGCTGCGCAGCGATCTGGCGTACCACCGCACGCAAGTGGAACGCTTCAAGAAGCAGCTGCGGGCCACCGCCACCGACGGCGAGAGCAAGGCCTGGAAGCGTCTGCGGGAAGAGGCCGAGACAATCTTGGGGCCGACCCTTGAGCTGGCGGGACAACTCTCGTCCGCCTACGACAAGATCCGCCAGCAGTCGCAATCGCTCTCGCACTACACCACCAGCCGCGTCGACCCCCTTACCGGGTTGAGTAACGGCCGGGCGTTGGAGGAGCAGCTCGAGGTCCTGTTGGCCCGCCGCACGCACCGTGACCACGAGACCGTCTGCTCCGTGGCGATGATCAGCATCGAATCAGTCACCCCCAACCGCGACGCATCGCAAGGCGCCCCCCTGGCCGAGTTGGGCAAGGCGGTCAGCCATCAGCTGCGGGGCAGCGATTTCGCCGCCCGCTACGGCTCAGACGAGCTTGTCATCGCAATGCCCAAGACGCCTCTCTCCGGGGCCAGCGTGTTTGGCCGCCGGTTCCGCGCCAGCATCGAAGTGCAGCTGGGAATGCAGGTCTGCTGCGGCATCGCCGAGGCTCAACCCGGTGAAACTGCCAAGGCTCTGCTGGCCCGGGCCGACGCGGCGCTCTACAGCGCCCGGGCCGCCAAGCCGGGCGCCCAGTACCTGCACAACGGCTCGGCCATCCGCGGCGACACGGCCGATCCTCTGCCGTGCCCCCCCGCCCAGGGGAATCCGCTCGCCGCCGACGCGGAGGCCGCCCCGGCCGACGCAGAAACCTCCGCCTGCGAGGCCGGAACGGCCTAGCCGCCATCCCGATTGCAGGAATCGTGCCTAGGGCATAGAATTCTGGGCTTGCGGCAACTTGTCCGCAGTGGGCCAGCGTAGCTTCAATCGGCAGAGCACCGCATTCGTAATGCGGGGGTTGTGGGTTCGAATCCCACCGCTGGCTCTTTTCCCACCCGTTTTTCGGGCCGAAAGGCCCCCACAGGCACTCGGTCGGCCGGTCCTCTGGATCGAGCGGCCTACGAGGACGCTCGCCGTTGCTCGACCTGATGGGGTTCCTTGCGCCGGAACCGTGGAGTGGCTGTCATCCGAGATCACGGAGCCTCCCCTTCAATGTCGACTGGTCTAGAAGCAGACGTCAAGCAGATCGTGCTATCCACCGCGGCCTTCGGACCGCGGGAGATCGAAGAGATCACGCGGACCATTTCCTCCAACTACAGCAAGTACCGCGAACTGCGCGAAGCGGTCGCGGAACTGGAGGAGCAGCCCAACCGCACGCCCGCCACCGCCGCCCGGCTGGGCGTGTGCCAGTACCTGCTGGGACAATACTCGGACGCCATCGAGACCCTCACCCACGCCGACGGCGGCGCCCTAACGCACTTCTACCTGGGCAAGGCCAACCTGGCGCTGGACAAGTACGCCGAGGCAGTTGCCGCGTACGACTCTGCCCAGCGCGCCGGCTACGAGCCGGGCGCCGTGGCGCTGGCCAAGGCGGAGGCCCTCCGCTACGACAAGCAGCCCGAAGAAGCCCTCAAGCTGCTCGACTCGCTGTCGGGTGCTGTCGAGCAGACCGCCGACTACCTGTACCAGCGTTCGGCCACCGTGCAGGCGATGGGCGGCTCGCGTGACGAGGTCGTGACCTACCTCGAGCGGGCCGTCAGCGTCGATGAAGGGCACGCCGGCGCCCTGTTCGGTTTGGCGCTCGAGAACGACCGTCACGGCAACGACCAAGAAGCCCGCGAGCTGTACGAGCGGGCGTCGGTCCAGTTCCCGGCGCATGTTGGCACGCTGCTAAACCTCGGCATCCTGTACGAGGACCTGGAGCAGCACGAGCGGGCCAAGGCCTGCTACCGCCGGATCCTCGACTCGTTCCCCTCGCACCCGCGGGCCCGGCTGTTCTTCCGCGACGCCGACGCCAGCCGCGACATGTACTACGACGAGGAGGCCCGCCGCCGCCAGGACCGCATGAGCCAGGTGCTGGGCATCCCGGTCACGGACTTCGAGCTGTCGGTCCGCAGCCGCAATTGCCTGCAGAAGATGGGCATCATGACCCTCGGCGACCTCACCGAGACGTCCGAGCAGGTGCTGCTGTCCAGCAAGAACTTCGGCGAGACCTCGCTGGTCGAAATCCGCGAGATGCTCTCCTCCAAGGGCTTGGAGCTCGGCATGTTCGCCGGCCAGAAGCGCGAGGAAGAGGCGCCGTACGACCCGGACGCCCTGTCGCCGGACGAGCGGGCCCTGCTCGATCGCCCAATCTCGGACCTGAACCTGTCGGTCCGGGCCCGCAAGTGCATGGTGCGGCTCGGCCTGACCACCATCGGCGAGCTGCTCCGCCGCTCCGGCGACGACCTGCTGGAGTGCAAGAACTTCGGCGTCACGAGCCTCAACGAGGTCCGCGAGAAGCTGACCCAGGCCAACCTGAAGCTCCGCGGCGACTGATCGGCAACCGTTGACCGCGCACGCCGTCACCTTCGAGCTTCACCACACCGACGCGCACTGCGCCGCACGCCGAGCGACGCTGCGCACGCCGCACGGCCCGGTCGACCTGCCGACCTTCATGCCGGTGGGCACCGTGGGCACCGTCAAAGGGGTCGATGTCGATCGCCTCCGCGACACCCACGCGCAGATGGTGCTCGGCAACACCTACCACCTTGCGCTGCGGCCGGGCGAGGAGGTGGTCGCCAAGCTGGGCGGGCTGCACGCCATGTCGGGTTGGCGGGGGCCGATGCTCACCGACAGCGGCGGCTTCCAGATCTTCAGCCTCGCCAAGAAGGTGAAGATCACCGAGGAGGGCGCGCGGTTCCATTCGCACATCGACGGCGCCACTATCCACCTCACGCCCGAACGGTCGGTCGAGATCCAGCAGCGACTGGGGGCGGACGTCGCGATGGTGCTCGACCACGTGATCGCGTTGCCCGCCGAGCGAGACGCGATCCTCGACGCGATGGAGCGGAGCCTCCGCTGGGCGGAACGGTGCCAGCGGCACGCCTCGCGGGCGGATCAGTCGCTGTTCGCGATCGTCCAGGGCGGCTTGGACGCCGAGCTGCGTGTCGATTGCGCGCGGCGGCTGGCCGAAATGGACTTCGCCGGCTACGCCATCGGCGGCCTGAGCGTCGGCGAGTCGGCCGAGGAGATGGACCGCACCATCGACGCCACCTGCCCCGCCCTGCCGCTAGACCGGCCGCGGTACCTGATGGGCGTCGGCACGCCGCGCGACCTGCTGGAATCGATCAGCCGGGGCGTCGACATGTTCGACTGCGTCATGCCCACCCGCAATGGCCGCAACGCCCTGGCGTTCACCGACGAGGGCCCCATGAGGCTCCGCAACGCCCGGCACACGAACGACACCCGCCCGGTGGAGGAGAGCTGCCCGTGCCCCGCGTGCCGGCACAGCCGCGGCTACCTGCGGCACTTGTTCAACGCCGGCGAGATGCTGGGCCCGATCCTGCTGTCGATCCACAACCTGACCTACTACCAGCGGCTGATGGCGGGCGCCCGGGCCGCGATTGAAGAAGACCGGTTCATGGACTTCAAGGCCGCCAAGCTGGCGGGATGGTCGAAGAAACACGACGCGGGCCCCGCCGGCGAACCGGCCTGATCAGGGCAGATTCGGCGCCCTAGCCCGCCTTGCATTTTTCCTGGTCTCGACCTAACCTATTTCGTTCGCCTCCATTGGGGATTGGTGTAATCGGTAGCACGACGGATTCTGATTCCGTTAGTCGGGGTTCAAGTCCCTGATCCCCAGCTTTTTGAGAAAACCTACACGCGTAAAAAACCCCTGAGCGGTGCCGCCGAGTGCTTCGGCCGCCCCACTCAGGGGTTGCTTCGTTCTATCCGCAGGCGGCTGGCGTCTTAGGTGGGCACGGTTTCCTTCTTGACGCGGTTCAGCTCCTCCCGCTCGGGCATCTCTTTGTAGAACGGGTCGAGCGGATAGCACCCCGACACGATGCCGTTCCGCGGCGCGGTGGTGCAGTCGCTGAAGGTGCGGCAGATCTTTTTTCGCTGCATCACCTGGCCGGCGATTACGTCGGCCGGGAGTTCTGGGTAGGAGAGCACCATCCGCCCCAGGCCGATGCTGTCAGCCATGCCCTGCCGCACCACCGCCTGGCCCACGTTCGGCAGCCAGTCCTGCAGGTACGAGTAACCCGAGCCGACCACGAGGATGTCCGGGTTCTCGGCCTTGAGCTCAGCGGTGGCGGCGATCTGCCGCGCGACGCCCACCAACGGGTCCTCTGGCGGGAGGTAGCCGTCCGAGGGTGGGAAGTAAGCCGGCCGCTGGATGTGAGGGTTGTAGTACGGGCTGCCGGCGGTGCTGCACAGCAGGTCGATGCCGAGCTCCCTCAGCAATTGCAAGAATCTCTTCGGCTCCGTCAGGTCGATGCCGACCGCCGTGCCGTCGCCGCCGAACGCACAGCCGTACGGGGCCGTGGCCGAGGGGGCGCCGATGTTCGCCTCGCCCGGCTCGAACGGGGTGAAGTCGAACACGCTCAGCCGGACGCCGATCGCGAGGCCGGGCGCTTCGGCGCGGATGCCGGCCGTGACGTTCCGCAGCAGCCGCGTGCGGCCTTCAAAGTCGCCGCCGTACTTGCCCGGGCGGTCGTAGCCGGAAAGCAGTTCGTGCCCCAGGTAGCCGTGGCAGTGCTTGATATCAACAAACGTGTAGCCAACCTGCTGGGCGAGCTTGGCGGCCGCAATGAAGTCGTCGACCAAACGGTCGAGGTCATCGTCGGTGAGCAGCGGGCCGTCGCCCTGGACGTTGAACCGCTTGTCGAGGACCGGGTGGTGGTACGCGATGCGTGGCTCGATGACCTTCTTGTCGTGGGGCCTGGCGAAGCGGCCGGAGTGCGTTAGCTGGAGCCCAAGCAGCAGGTCGTCGGTCTTGCCGAACCGCTCCTGGTGCGCGTCGAGGGCGATCTGACGCAGCTCCGCGATGCCGGCGAGTGTGTGATCATTAATCATCAGCTGGTTAGGGTTCGCGCGACCCGCCGGCTGCACGGCCACGGCCTCACCGCCCCACAACAGCTTGGCGCCCGACAGGCCGAAGTTCTTCCAACGCCGCTTGGTGAGGTCGGTCGGTCGGCCGTCCGTTTCACCGTCCCAACCCTCCATCGGCAGGATGCAGAAGCGGTTGCCGATCACGCCCCCCGACCACTTGAGGGACTCGCCGAGGGGGCCCTGCTCGCCCGGCGTGACCTGCTCATCGAACGGCAACGAGACGCCCAACTCCTGAAGGCGGCCATGAAAGGCCTCGACGGTCTTGAGGCTAGCAACGCGGGGGTACTTCTGGGGCGGCATAGGAAGAAAAGTAAAATACTGCAAGGAGAATGGAAGAAGCAATCGCCAGGAACGGCGTGACACTGCAGGTCACTATCGTATCCGGCCGCCATTCGTGGCGAAACCGTGCGGCGGGGGCGTATTGCTTGCAAGTTTTGATTCCGAGAGCGAAACTGACGCGTAGACGCCCCCTATGCCCTCACGAAAGCGACGAGTCTTGCCCAGCACTCCCGCCTACTGCAGTCCCTTAGCGTACCACTCGTTCGTCCACGAGATGGCGGAGATCCACCGGCCGCTCGGGCTGTTCCGCGCGGCGTCGGCGATCGCCCTGCACTCGCGTCCTGAGGCCTCGATCGACGACGCCTGTGAGGCGATCAACAAGCTGGCGGGCGCCGTCCGATCGCGGGTTCACAACCGCACCGACCAGGCGCTGCTCGCCCACCTGCACGACGTCATGTTCGAGGTGGCCGGGTTCCGCGGCAACAGCTCGGACTACTACAACCCGGCCAACAGCTATCTGCCCGATGTGCTGCGGACGCGCCGCGGGATCCCCATCTCGCTGACGCTGGTGTACCGCACGATTGCCTCGCTGGTGGGGCTGCGTGTGGAGGGCGTCAACGCGCCCGGCCACTTCCTGGCCTCGGTGACGGTCCACGAGGGCGCGTCGGATCACACGCTGTTTGTCGACCCGTTCCACGGCGGCGCCCTGCTCAACGAGCACGAGACCATCGAGCTGATCTCCGGCGCCACGGGCCGCCCGGAACGCGCCACGCCGGCCACGCTCGCCATTGCCAGCCCCTCCGACTGGCTGCTCCGCTCGCTCCGCAACCTGCAGGGCGTGTTCGCGCACCGCGGCCAGGTGCGTGACCAGCTCGCGATGCAGGAATTGCAGGCGGCGCTCGAGTAGACTGTGCTTGGCACGCGAGCCCCGGCGGCTGCTATAGTGAGGCCTCTTTCGCAGCCCGCCGCCCCGGCGGCTCCCGCCAGGAAGATTGCCCATGCCGCTCCGCGTCCTGCTGAAATGCGTAACGTCCTCTGTCGCCGCCGCGTTCCTCTGCGGCCCCGGGTCGATCCTGTGGGCCGCCGCGCCGGACCGGTTAATCGCCGACTTCGAGTCGGACTCCTACGGCGAATGGCGGGTTGAGGGCGAAGCCTTCGGCCCCGGACCGGCGACGGGCGCCCTGCCCGGTCAGATGCGCGTGAATGGCTTTCAGGGCGGGCGGTTAGTCAACTCGTTCACCGGGGGCGACGCCGCCGTCGGCACGCTCACCTCCCCGCAGCTGACGATCACCCACGACTACGTCCACCTGCTCATTGGCGGCGGCGGGCACGCTGGCCTGACCTGCGTCAACCTGCTGGTGGATGGCCAACCCGCCCGCACCGCGACCGGTCCTAACTTGGCGCCTGGCGGGAGCGAAGAACTGCAACGGGTCTTCTGGGATGTAAAGGAGCTGCGAGGCCAGCGGGCCGCTATCCAGGTTGTCGACCGGCACGCTGGCGGCTGGGGCCACATCAACGTCGACGACATCCACTTCAGCGACCAACCGCTGGGCCTGCCCGCCGCGCAGCTCGACCCGACGGCGCGGCTGCGGAGTTTCGCCTCATACCAGGACGTCGGCTACGACCAGCCACTGCGGCCGCAGTTCCACTTCACCTCGCGCAAGAACTGGCTGAACGACCCCAACGGCATGGTGTTTCTGGACGGTGAGTACCACCTGTTCTTCCAGCACAACCCGTTGGGCAATGAGTGGGGAAACATGACCTGGGGTCACGCCGTGAGCCCCGACATGCTGCACTGGCGGCAACTGCCGCACGCCCTGCTGCCCTACGGCGGCGGCACAATCTATTCCGGCACCGCCGTGATCGACCGCCGCAACACGCTCGGCGCGCCGCGTGGCGAGGCGGCGACGATGGTCGCCGCGTTCACCCACGCCCGTCCGCCGTTCACCCAGGCGTTGGCCTACAGCACCGACCGCGGACGCACATTCCAGCTTGTCGACGACGGGAAGCCGGTGGTCGCCAACCAGGGGTACGACCCGGAAGAACGCGACCCCAAGGTCTTTTACCACGAGGAGTCGGGCCAATGGGTGATGGCGTTGTGGGTTCAGCAGGGGACGCCCGGGCGGGTGCTGCTGTTCAACTCGCCGGACTTGAAGAACTGGACCGAGGTCAGCCGCTTCGACCGCGACTGGGTGTTTGAATGCATGGACCTGGTGCGTCTGCCCGTCGACGGCGACCCGGACCACCAGAAGTGGCTGATCTACGACGCCAGCTTTGAGTACGAGATCGGCGAGTTCGACGGCCAGCAGTTCAGCTCCGACCGGGTCGTGCAGCGGGGCGATTTCGGTCCCAACTATTACGCCGGGCAGACGTTCAACGACTCGCCGGATGGGCGGTCCGTAATCATCGGATGGATGCGTGGCGTCGACGAGGTTCCCTTCGTCCGCGCCGGCATGCCCTTCAACATGCAGATGAGCTTCCCCGCCACCATGGAGCTGCGGACCACGCGCTCTGGGCTGCGGTTGTTCCGCTGGCCAATCGACGAGATCACCAGCCTGTACGCGGAATCGATGAGCGTCGGTGAGACGGCCCTCCAGGCGGCCAACGACAAACTTGCCGACTTCGAGGGCGAGCTGCTCGACTTCCAGATCAAATTCGCGGCCGACAAGCAGACACACCTCGTCTTGGTGGTCCGCGGGCAGGAGATCGAGTACCGCGATGGCGCGTTCCGGTACGCCGGCGCCAGCCTGCCCGCCCCGCCGGTCGATGGCGCCGCTTCGCTGCGGGTGCTGGTAGACCGGGCGTCCGTGGAGTTGTTCGCCAACGGCGGCGCCGCGGTTTCAACCCACTACGCCGACCTGAGCAAGCAGGGCAGACACGTCGGCATTAGGTCGGCGCAACCGGTGCGGGTGAAGTCGCTCGAGCTGCATCGTCTGGCGTCTACCTGGGAAAAGTAGGCCCGGCCTGCCCGCAAACCCCGCCAAGGGCGGCGGCAATTCTGGCGTTTTCGCCGCGTTTGCTTTTTGCATTGCCGCCCGGTGAGCGTACACTGAAGTTTGACGCCCGGCCCTTGGCCGGCCGCCACACGCGGGACGCACAGCCCCGCAAGCGACGCCGCCCTGACGGCGCGGGGCGGTCCGTGGTCTCCTCTTCTTGCGCCGCACGGGAGTATCCGCATGGATGCCTCGATGGGCGAGCAACCAGCAGGCGCCAACGAGGGCGTGGCGGCGTCCCAATCCGCGGTCCTCACGACGGCCCCCGAGCAGGTGATGACCAACCTGCTCAACTTTGTCTCGCGGACCAAGGCCTCCGACCTGCACATCAAGACGGGCTACGCCCCGACCGTCCGTGTGGGCGGCCACCTGCGGAAGGTGCAGATGCCGGCGATTCCGGACTCGGCGTTCGTCAACAGCATGGTGCTGCCGCTGGCGCCGGAGGGGCGACTCAGCGAGTTCGACAAGAACGGCTCTCTCGACTTCTCCACCCAGATCGCTGGCGGCGACCGCTTCCGGATCAACATCTTCAAGTCCCGCGGCGAGACCCACGTCGCGATGCGGCGGGTGCAGTCCGAGATCAGCGACTTCAACGACCTGCACCTGCCGGACGTCTACCGGGACGTCATCAGCAAAGTGAACGAAGGCCTGGTCCTGGTGTGCGGCGTGACCGGCTCCGGCAAGAGCTCCACCATGGCGGCCATGGTGGACTACATCAACCATAACCGCGGGCTGCACATCATCACTATCGAGGACCCGATCGAGTTCCACTTCGAGGGCGACAGGTCGATCATCTCGCAGCGCGAGGTCGGCGTGGACGTACGCAACTTCGCCGACGCGTTGCGGGTGGTGGTGCGGCAGGACCCGGACATGATCCTCATTGGCGAGATGCGCGACCGCGAAACCGTGCTCGCCGCAATCCAGGCCGCCGAGACCGGCCACCTCGTGCTCGGCTCGCTGCACTGCGCCGACGTGCCGCTCAGCTTCGCCCGGATCCTGGAATTCTTCGACCGCTCCGACCACGCGTTCGTGCGGTCGTCGCTCGCCAACAGCCTCCGCGCGATCATGTGCCAGCGGCTGCTGCCGGGCATCACGGAGGGCTCGCGGTACCCGGCCACCGAGGTGATGCTCAACAACTCGGTCGTGCAGCGGAAGATCATGGAAGAGGAGGACGAGGACCTGCACGCGGTGCTGCACGGCTACCGGGACTCGGGCATGCGAGACTTTGCGTACTCGCTCTTCGAGCTGGTCGAGCAGGACAAGATCAACCGCCAGGTCGCAATGGACAACGCCCCCAACCGCGACGCGTTCTCGTCGCTCCTCAAGGGCATCGACGCGGCCGCCTCGGGGATCATCGCCCGCTAGCAGGGGCGCCCCTGCCGGCGGTCGTTCGCGATGCCGCTAGGCCGCCTCGCACCGGTGGTTGGGGGTTTGCTACAATAAGTGGCTGGCTCCCCGCTCCTGGCCGTTGATGGGGTCTTTCGCCTCGCGCGATTCCACCGACTTCAACCCGTTGCGTGCCCGCCGTGAATCTGCTTCCCCTCGCGTTGGTGGGGGCGTGCGCCGCCCTGCCGGCGCTTCTCGCCCCCCTGCCCTGCCCCGCCGCCGCGCCCGGCTACCCGTTGCAGCCGGTCTCGTTCGAGAAGGTTCGGCTTCAAGACGCGTTCTGGCTGCCACGGCTGGAAACCCAACGGCGGGTGCTGACGCCCTACGCGTTCGAGAAAACCGAGGAGGCGTTGAACGACCTCCGCGCCGCGGCTGCGCTGCTGTCCGGCGAGGAGCTGACCAACCCGCCCCCGCCCCACCGGTTCCGCACCAGCGACCTGTTCAAGGTGATGGAGGGCGCCGCCTACCTGCTGGCGATTGAGCGTGACGAGCGGCTCGAGGCGCAGATGGACGCTATCGCCGACGTCGTCGCCGGGTCGCAGGAACCCGACGGCTACCTCAACGCCACGCGGACGCTCTACCCGCACCTGGCGATCGACATGATGGGCGACGGGCGGTACACGTACGTCGACCACAGCCACGAGCTGTACATTGTCGGGCACCTGTACGAGGCGGCGGTCGCCTACTACCGGGCCACCGGCAAACGGAAGCTGCTCGACGTTGCGGAGCGGAACGCCCACCACGTCCGCCGCGTGTTCTTCGAGGGCGACCCCAACTACAACGGCGGCGAGCCAATCAACCAGGCGCCCGGTCACCAGGAGATCGAGCTGGCGCTGGTCCGCCTGTTCGACGCCACCGGCAACGCGGAGTACCTGGATACCGCCCGACGGTTCCTCGATATCCGCGGCGTCACCTACACGCCGCACGGCCAGGGCGTGCACTCGCCGACCTACGCCCAGCAGCACCGCCCGGTCGCCGAGCAGCAAGAACCGACCGGGCACGCCGTTCGCGCGACATATCTATACTCGGGCATGGCGGATGTCGGCGCGATGCAGGGCGGTGACCGGTACGACGACGCCCTGCGGCAGATCTGGGCCAGCATCGTTCACACGCGGATGCACATCACCGGCGGGCTGGGCGCGGTGCACGGCATCGAGGGCTTCGGGCCGGCCTACGAGCTGCCCAACGCGGACGCCTTCAACGAGACCTGCGCCGCCGTGGGCAACGTCTTCTTCAACTGGCGGATGTTCCTCAAGCAACAGGACGCCAAGTTCCTGGATGTCGCGGAGCTGGCCCTGTACAACAACGCGCTGGCCGGAATGAACCTGGGGGGCGACCGCTTCTTCTACGTCAACCCGCTAGCGGCCGATGGCTGGCGCCCGTTCAACCACGGGCGGCCCGAACGCTCGCCGTGGTTCGGCACCGCCTGCTGCCCCACCAACCTGGCGCGGCTGATCCCGCAGGTCCCCGGGATGCTCTTCGCGACCGACCAGCACGGGCTCTCACTCTGCCTGTACGCCGCGTGCAGCACCGAGACTACCCTCGGCGGCGTGTCGACCAGGCTCACCGAGGAAACCGACTACCCTTTCGAGGGGAAGGTCCGCCTCCGGGTCGAGCCCGCGTCGGCCGCCCGGTTTGCCGTGCGGCTCCGCATCCCCACGTGGACCACGGACCGCCTGGCGCCGGGCGAGCTGTACCACTACGCCGGCGGCGCTCCTGCCAGCAAACCGCGGCTGCTGCTCAACGGACAGCCGATCCCCTACGAGATCGAGCGCGGCTTCGCGGTCGTCGAGCGGGAGTGGTCTGGCGCGGAGGAGCTGCTGTTGGAGTTGCCGACGCTGGTGCGGGCGAACGCCTGCCGAAGCGAGGTCGAGGCCAACCGTGGGCGGGTGGCGGTCTCCCGGGGGCCGCTGGTGTACTGTCTGGAGTCGGCTGACAACCCGCTGCACGCGTTTAACTACATGAGCACCCCCAAGCAGGTCGGCAGCGCCACGACCGCGCCGCTCACCATCGCGGGGCAGCAGGTCGCGTCGGTCACGCTGCCGGCCGAGGCGTTGGCGGCGGATGGGGTGGTGAAGCCCACCACGGCGGTCTTGGCGCCGTACTTTGCCTGGAACAACCGCGGCGTGGGCTCGATGGCGGTCTGGCTGCCCGACAACGTCACGACTCTGCGAGCCGGCGCACTACAGGTCGATGACAACGCCGACCGCTTCGCGTCCGCCGAAGCAACGCACACCTTCGACCAGGACAGCGTTCTGGCCATGATCGACGGGCGGTTGCCCAAGCACTCGTTCGACACCTCGATCCCCCGCTGGACCAGCTGGCCGCAGCGGGGCGAGCCCCAGACGCTCACCTTCGAGCTCTCCGAGCCGACCAACCTCCGCACGGTCCAGGTCTATTGGTACGACGACCACGGCGGCGTTCAGACGCCCATCCGTTGGGAGCTGCAAGTCCCCGGCGACGATGGCTGGGCGCCCTTCCCGCTGTACAACACTGACCACTACGCCGTCGCGGCGGACCAGTACAACGTGGTCCACCCGGCCGAGCCGCTGACCGTCGAGCGTCTGCGACTGCGGGTCTGGCCGAAACCGGACGCGGCCGTCGGCCTGTTGGAGGTGGTAGTGGAGCCCGAGACAGACTAACGCTATCGGCGCGTCGTCTCCCCCCTCTCGCCTACAACCGCTGGTCACGCGTCGACTTTGAATCCGTGCTGCTCGCGGTGGTACGGACCGTCAAACTGCTTGGAAGTCTTGAACAGCTCGTGGCGGCCATCACCGGCGGCCTCCTCGACCTTGGCGAGAATCTTCGACTGCTCGTCCGCCGACAGCGGCTTGAACCCGCGGGCGACGCGCAGCGACTGATCGAGGTCCTTGTCGTTGAGCATCCCAGTCACCACTGCGGTCACGGGCTGCGACAGGGCAAACCTCAGGCACTCCTCGCCGGTCACCAACCCGCTGCGCGGCAGGTTCCCCTGCCCGCCCCCCATGCACTTCATGCCGATCACGCCGGTCCCCACCTTGGCGCACTCGGTCGCCACCTGATGGAGGAAGCTGCGGAAGAAGTAATCGCACACGTTGATCGGCATCTGGGCCGACGCCCAGTCCTGAGGCTTGTGGAGCATCTTCAGATGGATGCTGGGGTCCTTGTGTCCGGTAAACCCCAGCCGCCCCACTTTGCCGGCCTCCAGGGCCTCGCGTCCGGCGCGGATGCCCCCCTTCTCGAACACCCAGTCGGGATCATTGTCGTAGACCATCTCGTGGAACTGCCACAGGTCGAGGTGGTCTGTCTGCATCCGGCGGAGGCTGTCCTCAAGGTTCTGCTGGGCGCCCTGGTAGTCTCGGTTGCAGACCTTCGTCATCAGGAACACCTTGTCCCGGCGGTCCCGGATGGCCTTGCCCATCAGCTCTTCGCTGTAGCCGTCGTGATAGTCCCAGCAGTTGTCGAAAAACGTCACGCCCTCGTCGATCGCCCGGTGCATCAGCCGGATTGCCGCGGCGTCGCCCTCCTTCTTGCCCACCTGCCCGATGTGGTGCCCCCCCAGCGCCACGATCGACACCCCGGGCCCGTTGTCGCCGAGCGGGCGCTTCGGCACGCCGTGACCGTCGTCCGTCTGCTGAGCGAAGACCTGGTCGGCCATCGCCAACAGCGCGCCCGTGGCAAGGCCCGACTTGAGGAAGGAACGGCGGTCGGTCGGAGCAGGCATGGGACGGGTCCTTGGGTGGGTGTTTACCGGGCGCGCTGACGCCTGTCCACTCAGCCTGGAGGTCCGGGCGGCAGCACATCGGGGGTGTGAAGGCACGCAACCGAGTAGGGCAAACCGGGCGCCGCGACGGCGACGCCGCTCGCATTGCGTTCGCCCGATTCTCTCGTCCGTACTAGAATGACCCTTATGCACAAGGCCTGGTTGATTCTGCTGCTGTCGCTCGTATTTGCCCTCCCCCGCTCCGCCGCGGCCGATGTGGTCGTGATCGCGAACCGCACGCGTCAAACGGTGCCGGTCACCATCTCGCCGACCGGCGGCACGCCGTACAGCCTGCACATGCTCAGCGGGCAGGTGACGCCGCTGTTTAGTGACAGCCCGCTGCACGCCAACTACCAGACCCAATCCGGCGTGAACGGCTTCAAGCTGAACGCCAACAGCGCGTACTATTTTGGCGAGACCGCCCAGGGCCCCCAGCTTCACCTGGTCGGCATGGGGAAGGACGGGTCGCACGCGCGGTCGCTGCCCGGCGGGGGGGTCACCACCCCGGCGGGCGTGGTGGACGTCAAGATCTGCGTAGACGAGGAAGAGCCGCTCCGCCGTGGGCAGTGGGCCGCAAAGCTCCGCAAGCGGGTCGACATGGCCTCGCTGATCATGCTCGCCCACTCCGGCATGACGTTCCGCGTCGTGTCGACCGGCAGCTGGAACTCGGACAACGACACCAACGACTTCACCAAGTCACTCAAGGAGCTAGAAGAGGAGGTCCCCCGCATCGGCGACACCCTGGTGATCGGGTTCACCAGCCAGTACCAGGTGGTCCGCGGCCGGACCCACCTGGGCGGCACGCGCGGGCCGATGAGCTCACACATCCTGCTCCGCGAGTGGTCGCAGCACGTGTCGGAGCGTGAGCGGCTGGAGTTGCTGGTGCACGAGCTGGGGCACTACCTCGGCGCCACCCACAGCCCAGAGCCCGACAGTGTGATGCGGCCCGTGCTGGGCGACCGGCAGAGCCGCCAGGCCGGCTTCGGCATCCGCTTCGACCCCGTCAACACGCTGATCATGTCGATGGTGGGCGAGGAGATCCGGCGGCGGGACGCCCAGACGTTCGCGGACCTCTCCGAGCCGACGCTCACGCGGCTCAACGAGATCTACACGGCGCTCTCCAAGACCTTGCCGCACGACACCTCGGCGGCCCGCTTCGCCGCCCGCACCCGGACCGCCAAGGGGTCGTCGCCGGCCGAGCTCGCCAAGCTCGTGGTTCAATCGGTCACCGAGAGCGGCCAGTTCAACCAGCGGCTCCCGGAAGCAAGCCGCCTCAAGGGCGACGACCTCACCGAGGAGCTTGTCCGCCGCGCCGCCGCCGACGTCGCGGTGCTGCGTGAGCGGGGGCGCAAGCCGCTGCTCATGGGGCTCGGCATTGCGCTGGACGACTCGATCGTCCTAGGTAGTTTCCCCGCCACCGGCCAGCTCGTCCGCGACGCCGACCCGCCCGGGGGTCTCGCCAAGCGGGGGCCCACCATCCGGCAGGCGACCATGTGTGGCCGCAACGACCTGCTCAAGCACTTCTTCGTCTCGGCCGCGTTGACCGCCGCCACCGACGCCAACCAGGCCCACGCGGTAGGCGTGGCCAAGGAGCTCCTCGACTCCAACCGGAACAGCGGCTTCAGCTTTGTCGACCTGGCCGCCGACCGCGCCGGCGTCCGCTTCGCGCAGGCGGTGCTCTCCGGCGAGCTCACCCCGGTGGCGATCGCCGACGACTTCAGCTGCTACGCCTTCCTGCCGCCCTTCGACGACCTGCCCGAGGGCCTGTCCGCCGCCGAGTTTCAGCAGCAGTACGGCAGCACTGCCGACGCCCGCTACCTGGCGGTGATCCGGGACATCGACGAGCGGATCGACCAGCTGTCTGGCTACCACTGATCCTCGCGAGCCGCCTCGAGCAAGACCCCACAGCGCACCCATTCTGCCACAGCCCTCGCCCGGATGGATCGCTCAGCGGGGACCTGCGGCGAGGAGCTGGCGCCTGCTCCGAGCAGCTTCGTCTGAAGTCTCTGTGGGGCGCCGCCCGGGGCCGCATGTGCCCCTGTAGAGGACGCCAAGAGGATCACACATTTGCGGCTGCGCACCAAGCCGGAGTAAGAGCGATTCTATGAGGACGTTGAAGCCGGAAGAGATTCCTCCGCGACTAAACTGACCGAGGCGAGCTGCACCTCGGCGATTCTACGGACGGCCCAAGAGCGGGAAGGTGGTCCAACTTCGGCGACTTGCCCGAGACCGAATCCGAGCGAGGTGCTGTCCTCCCACCAGTGCTAGTCTCAATCCGCTGCCCCTTGAATTTCGAAGACTACCAATCTACCTAACTGGGAGAGGTGTCCCCGCGGTGGAGAATCCACTAGGCTCTCGTGGCGGGCCCAGCTCGCCCGTCGTTAATGAGAATCGAGTTTCAAGGGCGCAACCGGAGCGACTTCCACCCCCCAGCCCCATCGCGTCCACTCGCGGTCCTGCAGTTCGGAGAGGATTACTGTCATTTCGGCGGAGTCGGGCGGGGCGTCGAATCTGGCAATCATCGTCGCCCCGGACAAGTCAGATTCCAGCAGCACGTTGTCGACGATTTCCTGGCTCGCAAATGCACGGTATTCGCGTACCAGCAGCGGCAAGAAGTGTTGTTCATAGGGGGAAGGGACGAAGCCCGTGGGCCAAAACCGGTCGATCGCAAACTTCGCAGCGACTTCGAAACACTCGGGCGACGTTTCCTGACGCTTGACGACGATCGTAAAGCTGCGGTCGATGGCCGACGGCTTGAAGTTGCCCTGCGAAGGTCCGGGCCACTCGAAGCGTACGACGTCGCCCACGCGGGCGCCGGCCACCTGGCGTTCGTAGAATTCTCGTCCCGCCCGTTCAAGGCTCGCGAGCCACTCGTTGTGGCCTAGCCGGTGACCAAGTTCGAGTTGCGTCAGCCGTCGGTCCTCAACCTCGACTCGATTTGCATGCCGCTCTCGCACCACCAACAGCACTCCCACCAGAACTGCGGCGAGGGCCGCCAGCACACGCTCCCGAGAACTCCAAACCCGTAGGTAACCGGCTGGGGACATCATCAGCATCTCACGTCGGCGAATGTAGTGCAGGACGACCTAGTCCAGAGAGTAGTCGCCATGCCCACCCCGAACGCCAATCAGGCTGTAGTGACTCACGTCGAGCATGTCGGGATCGTCCACCCCCAGTGTAGCGAGTCGCTGTCTGCTGGGCCGAAATGAAGTCTCGAGGGTCAGCAATGACGAGTAGCCAAGTGAGATGAACGTGGTCCGCATCACACCCAAGGGGCTGCGGGTTTCGACGATCGTGTTTAATTCCTTGTCCTCGAACACCTCCTTGTACTTGGCCTGCACCGCCGCCGTGTGCTCGTCCACGAAAGTTGCGCCCACCTCGTCGGGCCAGACATGCGAGATCGCCCATCGCACCTCAGCCTCCACCACCGCGTCGGGCGTCTCGCCCTTATGGGTGGTGAGCCGGAATCTTCGATTGAACCCTACCACGCTCGGCAGGCCGATACCGCCGCCGTGATCCTCGATCTTTCGCCCATTGATCTCGCTGTTGCGGAGCTTGATCAGATCGAGCTGCAGGTTCGTGACCGAGGCGTGGCGGATCATATGATATTCGAGCTGAGGAAGACGCTGCTGACGGCGTTTCTCAACGGCCAGCCTTCTGAAGTGAGGCCCCTGCGCCCAGATCGCGCAGGCAAGTCCGGCGATGGTGACCAGCAGTATTAGTTCGCGCAGCGAGAGTCGCCACCAACCTTGCCCACTTGCACTCACGGTGCACCTCGGCATTCGTTGAGAAGTGTCGCCCCATGCGAGCAGGCATGCGGCAGACTGTCTATCTTACCGAACGCGCCGCCGCGATGCCATTTCCAAGGGCGCCGCGTGAATGGCAGGTCACCGAGTCAAG